CATGGCAAAAGGTTGTACGTAAGAGACAACCCCTGTCATGGGGGATATGGGGTATGCCACATAAAACACATGTACGGATATAATAAGCAAGTATAATAAACAACAGATCCCTTTTTTTTTTTTTTTTAATGTTATAAATGAAAAGTATATGCCTGGTTCGCCCATAATGGTCTCTTTCCCGTTGGCGAGGGTAAACAAACACAAACACACACACATAAATTCATTCCTTTCTAGGATAATTAACTGTTCTTTTAATATAGAATTAATTTTAAATTCAAATTCAGTTGTAACTTTTGTAAAGTGTTCAAGAGATAATGTCTTTTGAATTTACGGCTGCTCCGAAAAGGAACCACAACAAGTAAGTTCTTAAAGGTTGTTTTTTTTTTTTAATTGAATTGCGGGAAATGCAGGGAAACAATGTGACTTACTGTTTAAAGGGACTCCACCGGTTTTTTGAAATGACAGGGCTGGAAATATTTTTCACTCAACATCAGATTTGTGATAATGTTTAGGAAAACTTTAAAGCAGTATGCCTCCAGATTCATGTTAATTTTCATAAAAATGTTTGAAATGTAATTAATAGTAAAATAATGAGGTGAATAAATTTTAATGAAGTATTTACATATTGCAATCTGCACTTACAATCGACATGTAAATACTAAAAAGTGGTCAACATATGCAAAAACAGCCCTTATTGCGTTAGTAACGCAATAAAATACTTAAAAATCAGTGTTAAACCGCTGCAAGTACGGTAACTGTACAATATAACTTGAATGTTTTTACCTTTCTTAAATGTTTAGAGCTTTTTCTCAATATTAATTTTCTTGAAATATTTTGACTCAACTGCAGCTTTAAGAATGAGTAAGACGGCGGTCAAATATGAAAATTTAGTGATAAAACTAATTCCTGAGAAACCTATTTTTTACAAAAGTTGAATATAATGTACATATAATTTCATTTTGATATTTCAATTATTGTTTTTGTTATGATTCTTAAATAAATATACATTTACTGTTCAAGTTATGATCTTTAAATTATTTATTCAAATTCCAAAAGGGCAATTACTCCTTTTTTGGATTTGGGATTTACGTCACATCAGCACAGTATACATGTAGGTCATATGGCAACTTTCAAGTACCATTGATGAAGACCTCAAGTGCCTCTCTATACATTATTTCAGGAGTAGGATCACCAACGTTCAGTAAGCTAGCTGGATAGCGTCTTCCATAATTTTGAAATGAATGGTTATTGTTTTTGTAAAATTGAACCCTTCAAACACAGATCCTTCCATCTAAGAGGTTTCAATGTGATATCTGAAATACATGTACTTCTTATATGAGCTATGGTGCAGAAAAAATTTAGCATGAAAAATAATAAGGGGAAATAACTTGAAGATTTATCATTTTTGTATAGCACAATATGAACTTGTTATCCCAGTTTATATGAAAGTTATAGACAAATTAAGCATGAAAAAATGAATGGCAATAACTTCAAATTTATATTGGGTAGAGTTATTGTTTAATGTATTGTTTGACACTCCTCTTTAATGTATTATGAGACTGATCAGCCTAGTTTAATATGAAATGAAATCTCTAAAACTTTATGCTCAAATATTGTAAGACAACAGGAAGAACAATGATAATATCTATATCCCTGCAGGGAAAAAATAATATTCACTTTAATTATTTTCTGTCATCAATCTTAGATCATACATAGTTAAAATAAATGATAAATCTAAAGAGTTCACTATGCCTGAATAATGTAGCAAACGTCTTTAATTTTAAGCTTTGATATTTTATCTAGGTTTATCTGGAAGCCTGGTTCTATAAGATTTCTCTCCACTGTCAATTTTTAAAACCTCCCTAGAAAATATTATTCATTTATTCATAAACCATGTAAAATCTTCCATACTAAAGGCATTTATCTTTTATTTTTAAGTTAGGATCAACTATGTGAAGTTACAATGCATATAACACTGTATATATTTACCAAAAATGCAAGAGTAAACACTGTATGGTAACACAGCTTCTCTTGATATCTAAAATTTTGTTTTGATATACAGGTATTAATATTTTCTTTTCAGGAAACACATGTGTGTATCTTGTGGTGCTGTTATAGGGAAGTTTCATAGTCATGCCCCTAAATGTAGAAAAAGTGAGATGAGTGGCAGTGATTTACTTGTCTTAGAGAAAGAAAGAGTAAATACCATAGCATTAACTAGCTTTAGTGCTCAACAACTTGAGAAAGAATAAGGCCATGATTGGCCAAGGTTTGCCTATGCTTAAAAAAACTTGGAGTTCCTATCAGAGTTCACTATAAGACGGCCTTGTACACTGTAACACAACTAAAGGATTACCTTAAAGAAGAAGACCTTGGCAGTCTTGTTCGCTCTGTAGAAGGCGTTCTTTTTTTGTCCCTTACAATAGCATGGACGACAGTGACATTTCTGTTAGTCTGGACTTAGAACCAGAACACAATGTGAACAATACAATCAAATTACCTCCAGCTGATATGTCCAAGCATGAATACACTAGACAATACATAGAAAATCTACAAAGTGATTCAAATGTAATGCTGACCAGTGACGAGTCCTTGGATGAACATAATATTGAACTCTCCAGTACAACACCCTCATCAGTTACAGACCAGGACACAAATTATGAATCTAACCCAACAAATATACCATTAAGAAAACACAGAATTATTTTCAAAGAACCAGTTTCCCGAAAGAAATCTAAAGTAAGAACGCCAAGAAGCTCATCTCAAGCAATCACAACGTCTAAAACTGGAACTCTAGGATATGTGAAATCATATTCTGAACTAGAAAATGATGAGGAGGATCTTTTTCAGGATTTTGATAATGAACAGAACTGTAGGATAAAAAAAATAGAAAACATGTATAAGTGTGTTCAGAAGCAGAAAGCAAGACTGATTATTCTTTGACCAAACATCAGATAAATATCAAACTTGTAGAATTTGAATATTAGTTTCATAAATGGCCGAAAAAATAAAAGTTAAAAGAATGGCACAACCAAATTACTTCATTGACTTTTTCCAATGATAGTGACTTATTTACCTACTTTTTAATAAGTTATTAACATATGCTAGTTATTCAGATATTCATGACGGGATCAAATGAGGGGAGGGTGGAGGGAATGGGACAAGAGTCTATAGCAGAGTGGTTCTACACAGTTGTGTCTGAAATAATGCACGAAGAGGCACTAGCAGTAAAGCTGCCATATATCCTTCTTAGTGTTAGTGCAATGTTAAACCTTAAAGAAAAAAAGAGGGAATGGCTTGTATGAGCTTGTCATTTTACTTTTTTCATATCTAAACTCACATTTTTGATATAAAGATATATCTTATGAATTTTTTTTTATAAAATATAAAAACAGTAAAATTATATACTTTCCGTAATCTTATGATACAGCTTTTTTAAGTAGGTTATTAACTATTGATTAATGATTTTTGGCATGTGCCAATTCTTCTTAAGGAAATACACCAACATGATTTTTTCATACAGGTATTTTGAAATAACTTTTTCTTTCAACTTCAAACAAAAATTTTGTAAACTGCAAACAGCAGAGATAAAACGTTACATACTTTTTTTGTAAAAAAACTTACATAATTGATTTTAAAAAATGATGAAAAACTAGTAAATCAAGTGATGGAAAAAAGAAGTTGCTTCATGAACTTTGAAGGACTTCTTTTTTACATCCTACGATGTTTTTAGGGATGTAAACAGTTTTTTTTTAAATTATGTGTGGATTCTGGATTCACATATGTATGGTACAGTGTATGCTGTACAGTATAGTGTGGTGTATGTGGTACAATATGGTATATGGTATGGTATGATGCTTATGTAATATGGTATGGTATGGTATGATATGACTGTGGTATGGTATAATACAGTGTATACAGTACAGTATGGCATGAATGCATGTTCCCCTGGATTAGTGACCATGGCAGAAAAATTCTTTAGACCTATGTTCCCCTGCATTAGTGACAATGGCAGAAAAATTCTTTAGACCTATGGGGACATTTCAGATCTAAAATTCAGTAATGAATGTGCATGGTCAGTGTAATATCACAAATGATCAAAGAATATCAAAAGTTGATCCTGAGAGAAAGCTGCTCATTTTGATATTCAATCAGGCACATGTTTATACATGTTTGAATGTAAAAGTAATAGAAGCAGATCAATGTTACTCGAATTCCATTTCTCTCGAAGTAAAATACCCAGTCCCTTGAAATTCGAGTTACAGAGGGTCAACTGAATTTAAATTTTTAAATTAAGAATATGGTACTGGTTTAAAAGACATTTAAAAGTAAGCTGAAGAGTAACCATAAGAACAAGTTGGACAAGGGACAAAACAGTTGGGTCTCCACAATTTATTTCTATATAGGGCCCATATTCCTGTCAACAAATTGTTTCAGGTGGAGATATAATAAATGTTGTGTCAGAGATGACTATAATTGTAATACTGAGACCACAATAAATTGAAATAAAATGCATACCATAGACATATAGTGAAAGTATTTATAATAATATTTCATTATTATTCAATTCTTCAATATAATATTAATAACAGTAACCAATTATTTTCTACTACGGACATTATGTAACATACATAATAAGAAAGCATGCAATTGAGAAAAAAAAACAATGGTCTGTATGACTAAACTAAAACAAAATTGTTATGGTAAAACAAAGGTAATCTTAAACTTCTTTAGCTAGTGATCTAATACTAACCCCAGGCTTACCAGTTATTGAATTTTCTAACCTGTTTTTGGCTAAAAATTGAGCAATCCCAATTAAATGGATAAATGTGACACACCTATAAATTTACATACAGATAACAAACTGCTTTAAACGGGGTGTTATTTACAACTTATGTGGTCAAATACTACTTTTTGAAGCTATCATAGTGTTGGAGCTTGGGAATTAAAGTTACTTCCCTATAAAAATACATAAGTTTGGAAGATTCTATTTAACTTACAGAGTCTGGTCAGCATTGACTGGGACATCTGTACAATCTGAAGTAGATCTAGTCTTCCTACATGTCATATAATAATTGTGAATCAATGTCTCTGCTTCTTTCCTAAACTTTGGTCTTAACTGACTCGCAAATCTAACAAACTGGAACAAAAATATAATATTTACAATAATTGTTATATGTATGTGTCAAATAGGAAGATGTTGGCAATACATATTCCCTAGATTTGAAATAGCAAAATGTTTGTTTTTTTTAAATTTAGTTTGAATGGAAATAGAATGGTGGCATATTTCACAGACATTGAATTCAGAGGATCCTTTGGTCCGAGTCCCAGTCAGGGTGCACATTTTTCCTTCCTATTACTTTCAGATAAATGCCTTGATAATTAAGAGTTTATCTGTTGTCATATAAAGTTGCCACCATAGGAATGAGCAGCAGATACCTGTGTTTCTTTCTTATAGGCCTAAATGATTCTGTTATCAAGTATAATATATTCAAAATACATGTACATTCCCTAAAAATGAAAAAAAAATGTTCAGATTGAAAGATGGACAAATTCTTTTAAGATATTTTGTGTTTTAAAGATTAAATACAGAAGAATTTTTGTAACTTTTAACACAAAGAATTTCATATGAAATAAATTCATTATCACAGTATTCTTGTTTATAACAGTTTCAAGATTAGTAATAAATTTAATTTATTCTCCAGCATAATGTTTTCGAACCTGTTGAAAATCTTCTGTAGACACTGGCAGTTGTGTTGTAGTATCTGTGTCCCTTATATCATAATTTAATGCTGCCACTAGAGTTGTTTCCACCATCTGATCTTCTACCATCTCATTACTAGTTATATCTCCATGATCAATGAAACATATTAAGCTGAAAGCACTGTTGAAATGGAAAAACAATTATTTTTTTTGGTGTCAAACTCATAATAAAGCTATCTATCTAGATTAATGATCTGTTTTTTTGCTGAAGTGGACATTCCACTAGCCTGAGATTAGCAAAAAATATTGAGCAACCAATGTAATCAAACTGAGCAAAAGTCAGGTAAGAAAAGTACAATTCTTGCATAAAATGTAACAATAAATTATATGGCTAAAATTAACTTCATAACTGGCATAGACGTTTTGTTTGAATAAAATGAAAATTACTTCATGAACTTGCAGTTGATGTGTATTACGAGTATAAAGGGTATAAACATCATATTTGTCCAATGAAAGTAATGGCTCCAAACATGCAGTTCTGTATTAATGTATTATAACAACTCACTTACTCTAGAAGAGTTTTGGGAATATCTCCAGTACAGGCTCCAACAAATACATCACTATCTTTAGAAGATTGTTTTCTAGACAATGTAGGGTTACTATATCCCCAGATTCTACTCTTCAACCTCTGTTCTATATGATGTGGAAGACTTCCAGTGTACTTTGGGGCAACATCAGTTACTATCTTGCCTCCACTTAATGCTGGAAAAACAAACCAAAGTTTAATTATCATTTTACCTCATTTTAATACAGCAATATAAAAGTATAATTTGTTTAAAGAAATCAGCTCTATGATTTGAAATAGGAAACTGTCTTTATTTAAGATTTTCTTTTTTATTTTCCTATTTGTAAAATGTCAGAAAACCGTAGCATGTTTTTAAGACTAGTGTTTGTCTTTTGGGAATACCTCCAGTACACGCTGTTTGTTTTTATTTTCAGAATAAGGAACAGATATGCAAGCTAGATTGGCTCAACATTTGTGGCATAGACAAATCATTATAGGTGCGAATATTTAGAAATATAAATAAACCAAAAAAATATCGGTTATAATAAAGCCAAGAATATCAAAACTGACCAGATTGTAGACTGTGTTTTGTAGATTTTTTCAATCTGTCAATGTCACCAACATTACACACACCTCTTTGAGACAGGTGTAATAACCCTCCTGCAAACAGAGAACAAAATAATGCTATAGCTATTGTCTCAGGTTGAGGAAAAACATACATTCTGACTAGAATTGGAACCTGTGAAGAACCATTAGAATATAATTCTGCAGCTACATTTGTACCTGGATTCCAAATGATAGGGACTTTCTTTTCACTTTTCTAAGCAAACTGGGCAAAAAGGAAAGAGAGAAAGCAACAATTACACCCAAGTTTTCTAGAAACATGGTCCCTGCTAGAAAACTATATATGCACATCTAGGAATGGAGTGAGGGTAGAATGATTAGGGCAAACTGGCAACTGTATGTGCAACAGAATAAAAAAAAATACTGACCTTCAACAAAATATGAAGAACTGTTATATCTATCTACTGTCACATGACCTGTTAGTGACTGACCAGCTGTAAGGCTTGTAGAGGAGTGTTTAAATCTGGTTCCAAACTGGAGAAGTCTTGATATAATCTCACTATCAGATCCCAGAGCCAATACATGGAGGGGCTTTGTCTGAAAAATATATCATGAAAGTTAGTTACAAATTATTAAACTGAATAATTGTATCTTTAATTAGAAAAAGATATCAAGTTTGAGTGCATCATTGTAGAATGACTAATTAAAATCCCTGCACATGGGTTTTAAAGTCAATGATATACATTTAATGTTTGAAAGAATGCGTTAAACAGGGGTCATAATTTATTATCTTGCCAATCTATGACAAGAGTTATGTGCTCTTGTACAAAAATGGATGCGATAGTCATTAATAAGTATGCCTAGTTTTGTTATAGTATCTTCTGAAATGTAAAATCATGTTACTAACATGAAAAAAATGTGGTGGCATATAAATATTTTTTTTAATATTTAAATCACATTTGTTAACAACACTCACTAAATATGTTTCTTTCAATCCTGGACACTTTTTTTAACCCTTTCCCTGCTGGAACCGGAAGTAATCAGCCTTTGACACCAGTATAGTCAGCCAGGCCAGCATACACAATTGTGCTGCCAAAACAGGCTCCTTATAATGCTGCTGGCTGACTAATGTTTCATTGTGACATCCCCGAAACTGATAATAGACTGTGCAAAATTGTGAAGCTGGACTAGTCCATTTAATAAAATTCAGCAGGAAAAGGGTTTATATGACAGTAGAATTTTACCTTTGTATCCTTTTTGGACACCAGACTCAGTAATATTGCAAGTTTTAAACTGAAATGACATCCTGGAGGACTAATTTCACCTGAAATTTAACAAAATACTAAGTCTTGTAATTTCTATACATGTAATATTCATAATTATAATTGCCAAATTTTTTAATTTTCAATTTATACTACATTGTATTATAAAGTATCATTCAGGGTTCGTACAGACATCCAGTATCAAAATTCAAGGAATTTTTAAGCACTTTTTAAGCATGTTTTTCCATTTTTCAAGCACAATTTGTTGCGTGTCTATCCTACACAATGTTTAACCAGTATTAATTTATAAGTCATTTTTTGTTGAAAACACATTTTCTGGCTACAGTACACTTTAATAGTTCCTATAGAATAACAAGAAAGATACTTAAACTGCCACCCTGTTTTATGGCCCCCTGGTAAAACCCTAACTTCAATATATCACGCTCTCTTGTAGGTTTTGCGTTTATTTTAAATATAAATACTATAACATGATAATATGATATATATCTACATTAGTAGTAAAGTTTTCTGTCTGTCAGTAAATTGTCTTACAAAAATAATGTCAATATTCATTGAATGGTTAAGATTTGAATGGTTAAGTAAAAATCATTAGCACTATACAAAATCGCAGTGAGTGGGGTATTGCGATGATCTTGCGATGAGGGCTACATATCAGAATCTGGCTAAATTCTGTGTTGAAACCTTGGAACACAACATGAGCATTATAGAGGGGTTGAAGTGAAGTGCAAATTAACTGCAATTTGTGTCTGTTACATTGAGCAAACATTGATTTTGGTACTGAACAAGATCTTTATTTATTGTTTTTTTTTTTTGGTACATTGTAACTATCTATTGATTTTTACCGACACTTTTCTGTCATTCAATCATTTTCAAGCACATTTGTAGCAAATTTAAGCATTTTTTAAGCACTTTTCAAGAGAATAATCAAATTCAAGGACTTTTAAGCACTTTTTATCATTTTTAAGCACTTTTTAAGAAAGGGACTGAAATTTAAGCACTTTTTAAGACTGTACGAACCCTGTCATCTGTGACGTCAACGGTGTTTTCAGACATAAAATTAAGATAAAAGTAAGATAATTACCTCCAAACAAATAGGCTAATGTCAGGACAAAGCTCCAAGGTGATGATTTCCTATCTGAAAATAATAAAATGCAAAACATGTGTCAAACAATGATGACTACATATGTGATTTGTATATCTTTACATGCTTAATGTAATAAATTCAAATACTTTCATTATTCTAGTAATAATTACTGATTATTCATTTATTTTCCTCACACTTCTTGCTCAAGTATATAAACATTTTCACTTTTCTTTGCATAACATGTATACTATAACAAATTGCTAATGCAGCTACTTAGATATCCCGAGTGTCATTAATGCCAATACAGTTCCATTTCTAGCACCAAAAGGTTCCTTACCACTGTATATAAGAATATGCATATATTATTTATTTGATATGAATAGATAAAACTTAAATAAAATATATATAAAAATAGATAAACATTGAACAAAACATATAGAAATGAATATCATATATAGCTTTACCTTTGTAAATTGTTAAAAGGTTTCTGGGTAACTCCTTCAACAGTTTACTGGCCGATATCTCTGTCTTTATCTGTAAAACATCAATCTCATTCACTAGACATAGTTCTTAAATAAATATTGGGGTAATTCTGCTGTCTTAGTAGTCCAGTGTGTCAAAATAATGATTCAGTTTTAAACAAAATGGTGGTTTTTTTTCTTTAATAAGTTGCAACTAGTATTGTTGAAAGAATTGATATGGAGGAATTCTGAACTGCCATTTAGATATAACTTTATTTATTTTTACAGCATATTAAAAGTGAAATACAAAAACAATGTTTAAACTATTGTAACTTACCTTCTTAATGTTATTTGCCTAAAAAATAAAAACAGTTTTAGCTGTAAGTAACAGTGCCCTTTTGATCATTAACTTCAACATAATTACACCAAACATAAATAAGTCTTTTAATTAAAGATAATAATGATATATTTTCTAGCTTTTACTGCATCTGTCCATTATTTTAGGGAAATAAAATAAAACCTTCTGTAAGCTAGCTGGATAGTTTCCTCACATGATAGAATTCAGTATCATCTAAAGTAGGAAAGAGGGACAAGTAATTAGAACTTAACAGAAACCATAACCACTTGGCTATTTAATGATTAAAGATATTGAAAAAGATGAATGGCAGCCTCAAGATGTCTATGTTTTAGCCCAAGGACCATGGGTAAAAGCCATGATACTAGGGTCATGCTTCATTTTATGTGACACTAGTTCTTGGAAGCATACAATGTGGTGGATTGAATAAGCTTTAAACATTTGTAAAAATGAAGCTATAATAATAAATGTTTAAAGTGAAAAAAGTTTATGGCCATGAAACATGGAAATACCTCAAGTGTCAGCATAATTTTGTCATCAAGTACATCTTTCCTACTGATGCCAATAATCTCATATGTTTCTCCAATCTCTACAAGTTTGGTCAGATCATCTGTAATATATGTGTGACTTCTGTTACATATAATTCAGGGAGAAAAAAAAATCTGACATTTCAATAGTGCAATTTAAGAATGGATTAAAAATCATATTCTGGATTCTTAAGACATACAATTGTATGCAATTTTTATGAAAATTTTAAGTGTTTTACATGAAGAAATAACTTTCATGTTTACAAATAAAGTAAATTTAAGAATTCGTCTGGTATGGCTTTTTAAGTATCTATGTGGTATATTTTATAATATATCTCAACAGAAGAAATGCATCATACCTCTAATATAGACAGGTATGGCCTGTCCCCTAGATCTTTTACAGCTATGAGAATGAATTTCTGACATGATCTGTTCAGGAATTACCTCCGCAACCACCTTTTCTGTTGATAGCATAAAAACTATTGATAATTATTGCAAAGAAATATGTTATTGTAAATTATTTTGTGCCTATTTCAGCCACATCTATTGTATGTCAGGTCTTTTCCCCTTCTATTTAAGGTTTGCCTCCCCTTTCAAGAATAAAATCTTTAAAATCACACAGTTTCCCCTAAAATCAGTTTATATCAAGTATTTTCTAATCCCATTTTACCAATTTGCTGATATTCTTCCCTACCCCTCCAAATTTAAGGGAAGGGCCCCTGAGAGAAAAGCCCTTCATGAACAAATATGAAACAATAGAAAGACATTCTACATTATATACAAGTGTGATCAAAAAGCAACACTGATGAAATGGAATTACATTACAAGTGAATCAAAATATGCGGAGAAACAATATTTCATGTAACACAGGATGAGATTATTTTTCTGATTCATAAACTTACAGAAACTACTTTGTTTCCAAAGATAATTGGTTGGACATTTGTACTTGATAGTCACCAACCTGGCTTTATTCTGATCATTTTTGGAATATAACTAATAACACATAATATTTCACCATATAGTACTATCAATTACCAACATATCAAATTAATTTTTTTATTTCAATATTAATCATACCAATTAATGCTATAATAAATTAATAATAAATTTTACTCAAAAAGTTTGAACTATTTTTATCTCCTAAATTATCATGAATTTTGCAGCTGTTTATTTACAAGCAAACTAGTCAATATCAAGTCATACAAATTTGTTGGACATTAAGGCTGATGCATATTTACCTGATAAAGTCCTGCTTGACTTTTCCTCTGTCAAGGTTAGAGAACAGAAACTGCATTTGAAATCTTTCCTGAAAATAATAATGCCTCAAGAACTAAATACATTGTAGTTATCAAAAAATAAGATTGTGTCTAAATTGTTTTGTCTTTTTTTTTTTTTTTCAATACAGGTTACACAACAGCCTTTTCTAAACTGCTACAACATCTAATGCTTTATATACCAGTACATGTATGTCTTAAATTAATTACTAATATATCATTGAAAATGTTTAATAATTGGCTCTTATTTGCTGAAAAAAACTGAACTTGTGAGGGAAAGCCATGTTGTGTGCAGTGATTTTTACTTGCATTTATATTCTAAATAGGGACATTTTGACATTTTCTAAAAACAACATTTTTTCTTAAACCCCCACAAATAAATTAAATTAAACCCTCTCAAATGAATAACAAATAAATCCCCACAAATTACTTAAATTTAACCCCAACAAAATTACAAATCTTACAAACCTGAGGCAAACCCACAAAATAAAACTTGTTCAAACTGGCTATATTTTAACTGGCATACATAAATCTGAAATTCTCTTTGTATTCACATAAAGGTTAAAGTTGACATAGAGACAAAATTATTACAAATTAATATATTTACCTGACAGTTTGAGCTTCTGATGCCCCTGGAGTATGTATTCTTATAAAATGGTTACCGTGGTGACCTTGACAATCTTCATCTGTACAGTAATACCTGGCACTCAACCTGGAAGTTTTAATATAGATAGCTAAGTATTAGCTGAAGTATTGAGATTTTTGACAAAAGAACAGAAAACTGTAGTGACAGTGAAGATTTATATTAAGTTACTTTAATGTATATTTGAGTGTCCATTTTGTTTGTCTGATTTATTGGGTTTTACGTCACACCGACACAGTATAGGTCATATGGCAACGTTCCAGCTTTACTGGTGGAGAAAGACATCAGGTGACCTTCTGTGCATTATTTCAGGCACGAACGGACACCCGAGTAGAACAATTGACGTTCCGTGAGCAAGCTGGATAGCTTCCTCACATGAAAGAATCCAAAGGCTCTGTCGAGATTCGAACCCACAGCGGTGTCCATTTTATAGATAATATTAAAGGTGTGAGATAATCACTATAAAAAATGTCTATAGTTTTACCACATATTAAAGGTGACAAAAATAGAACGAACCTAACTCAGCCTCTCAATAAGTCTAGAATAATATTTTGATGATAATTTCTCAGTAATTCTAACATATTAACCTACAAGAAGCTTAATTTCAATTTATTTGTTCCACTGTCTACATCAATCTTGCCTAATGAAACTGGTTTCCAGAGACTGTACGATGCAATTTTCTATTCAATGACACAAATGAACATACATGTATGTCAACATTTTGGCACAGGTGTACATGTACACTTGTATACGATGTCATTTATTTCTTTTACACAACTGTTAGGATATACCTACATCCTTGTAAGTGTTGACAAAGCCGTACTTACGTACATTTTGAAACAACACTGTAATAACATGCTGTATTTCTGCACAGCTGTACTTATGTATATTTTGAGATGGTTGTACTCTCTTTTATTCTGAAACAGCTGTTGTAATGTAATATTTGTTTCAAAAGCCATACTTACGTATACTTAGACACATCTGACAACCCTGTTACAACACCAGTAAGACTACAAAATATTCTAGCATCATGCACTCTGGATAAACATCTAATATTCTCTATCATGTTTCTGAAAAAATAACAAACTATTTGCATAATTTAGCTATGAACTGTTACCAGCATATTCTTTCTTTCCAAAAGTGGCATTTAACATTGTCTTGTAGATATAATAAGAGCTGTCGGTAGGACGTCAGCAACGTTCGACTATTCTTAGTGCTTGATAGTAAAAAATGCCTTGATTAAAAGGTAAAATTTTCTCAGTAAAGAAAAAGGCAAAATTTTACTTTAAATCTATTTTTCAGTTATAGGCCTTGGAGAGAGTCCTATTATGCTCTCAAAGAAGAGTATAAAATTTCAACATGTTTCAAAGCCTTATGTCAATGAATTTTGAAAATATTTGAGGTAGTACAAAAACTTTAATGTAAATTCTAAGTTGAAAAAGGGGCATTATTCTGTCAAAATGCTTGATAGAGTTACCTCCTCCTGTCTACAGGTTGGGGTCATGATGGTGAACAAGTGTGCAAAGTTTCAAAGCCATATGTCAATGGACTTTGAAAATATTTGAGGTATTACAAAAACTTTAACGTAAATTCTAAGTCGAAAAAGGGGCATAATTCTGTTAAAATGCTTGATAGAGTTACCTCCTCCTGTCTACAGGTTGGGGTAATGATGGTGAACAAGTTCGCAAAGTTTCAAAGCCATATGTCAATGGACTTTTAAAATATTTAAACTATTACAAAAACTTTAACATCAAGTGGTTACGCCGACGCCAACGCAGCCGCTCGGGTGACTACAATAGCTCTACTTATTCTTATCAAATAGTCGAGCTAAAAATTAAGAACAACAATGTTCTAAATACGAGTTGAAAGATAAAATTAATTGAAAGATAAAATTAATTAATAAAAAGTAATCTAATGAGCTTAAAAGCTAAACAATGTACTCTAGCCACAATTAAAAAATAACCAAACGTGTAACTTTATTGTACATCAAATACTTTTGTAAAAACTCAATTTGATTTATTTATGGTTTATACAAAGACTTTGATAGAACCATCGAGAGTAACTCTTTAAAAATGACCTCATAACATACAATGTCAAAATGAAATGTTGATGAAAAAGAATACAGCTTGGACTTTTAATTTTGAATGATGAAACCCCAAGTCAAGGAGACCTGACCTGCAGAGACAGAATGATAATAAAGTTCTTGCTACTTACCTATGCAACTGAAAACTAAGACAAATCTTGGCTATTTTTGGCACTAAAATCAAAACTATCCTACAAACCTGACAATGCAGAGATTTATGGCAGTAAAAAACCAGACTCATTTCCTGTTGTCTTCCACAATGACATAGATTTTGTGAAAGGGGAGCCTAGGGTGTTTTAATTTAACTGGTGCATTAGGTTTTCTAAAGAAAAAAACTTACAATTTTGGTAGAACAGGAAGAGATGAAAGTCTTAGGATCACAGCAACTTGAGATAATGATGTTGTTTCAGGCAATAATTCCAAAACTTGTATTGCTTTGTAGATAACCTACAAAACCAGGAAAATGTCTAGTTTATATGATGGCAAAAAGCGAAATCCTAAATAGGCAAAAAGACTTGAGACACCTTTTAAATAATACCTACAAAAGCATCTGGGAATGGATATTCTTTGCTAAATTTTATTTAAGATTAAAATCTTCATTTGACTTACATGTACTGACAAAATTAATCTATGGATGTTTTAACAAATGTACTTACGATGCCCTTTTCTTTGTTGTTCAAACACACACAAAAGTAATTGCAAATGATAGCTGTGAAATGTACATCTTTTAAAGCAAATAAAATATGGATGTAATATGTAATTAAATTCAAAATCGAACAAAAAATTAAAGTTCTTTTTAAGATTGTAGGATTTACTAATTTGGAAAACATAATAGACATAAAAATTGTACAGTTGAAGATTTAAATATCCCTACCAAGCACTATCTTTCATTGTTAAATAAAGCTGTACCATATTTCCTGTCTGCATGAAATTTGATTTTAAATAATAATTTTAGAACAATAGATATACTTAATATTAATTACTTTATTAAACAGGAAGGTTTTAAGTTTTAACAGCAGCCTTTATCACTGGCTTTACATATTCACTTACTTGCTTAAAAACATCAGTTGCGGTTATTGGTTCCCGTAACAACAAGTTACCTAAAATAGCTGAAAATTCAAAAATATTTCGTTTTGGATGTTCTGCATTTAATATAATTATGTACCTCATATATAAATTCCTGTCTTTATGGTACATCAGTTAACTGGTATGATTCCTGTGCATCACAGTGGAACATTAGTGCTTTCTAAAATTTTACAATATAGCAGACACAGGCCAGTGCCTAATCATTAATTATTGTTTGATTATAAAGAATCATGTAATGATAAGGTCATACTCAAATAACAGAATTTCATCTGATAATGTTGTAACAAACCATTAACTGAACACTTAACCAACAGAAACCAAAGTCATCACCCTTAGCCAACAGTATATAGCCAAGCCAACCTTTATATCTGTGAAGTCTTACCAAGCTCTAACTATGGTAGCTAAACTTTTGTATCTGATAATGAAATCTCCAAAATTTCAAATGGATTGCTCCAATGTCAAAGAAGGACTAATTCATTATACAAAATTCAGTAGATTAAGGTGAGTGATAACCTTATTGTTAAGGTGCCTCTCAACCAAGGCATTGTATATTTGAGTCCTTCTGGGGTCATGACAATGTTTCCTTATGTGACACCAGCACTGCTCACTTCCAGGAAGCAGATCTAATAGTGGTTTGGATATGCTTAAATCTTTTATCACAATCATGCTAAAATGAATGTTTAAACCATACTACCATTAGCTTCACATATGTCTGACGGATCAATCAGCAATTTGAATGTATACACCAAGCTCTGAAAGTAAAATTTTACCTCAAGACTAACATAACACAAGTCATTTGTTGTACAAATCATCAATTTAAGCAAATTAAGATAAAAAGAATACTCTCTGAAATTGTAGTGTATTCCAAAGGCTACTATACAAACTACACATACACAATAAGTTTTAATTCATTACAATAGGTCATGTAATATATTAGATATACCTCTTTCTTAGAAACATTTTATTACTTTACAACATGTGAAAAATCTCATTAACTTATAAGAAAATTTTAATATTAATATTGATATGATAATATGGAACAGCAATGAAACAACCTTTGTTTTAGCATATTTTTCACATTGTGCCTTCAGAAGTGTTAGGTTACCACTGACATCTAGGTACTGCACTATTGCATCAAAATATCCCAACTGTTCCTCTAACTGTCTGATCACGCATTCCTCCATTCAATCTGAATAACAAATCTACTGTGGCACAGAGGAGATGTGTGTGTTTTGATTTATCTCATGCGCACAAGATTTTTGTGCCCAAGAGTTACTAAGTGGTGCCCACAAGATAAGTAAGTGGTGCACACCACATACTATGTTGTGGCCGCACCAGATACTATGTCATGGCCACAAGTTATCAAGTCGTGCACACAAGATAATTAAGTTGTGGGCACAAGTTAATAAGTCTTATGCACAAGATAATAAAGTTGTGTGCATGAGATACTTTGTCGTGGACACGAGTTACTGAGTTAAGCGAACAAGATAATTAAGTAGTGGGCACAAGATACTATGTTGTGGCCGTGAGTTACTAAGTTGTACGCATGTGATAATTAAGTGGTGCACACGAGATAGTTAATAAATCAGATTACACTATATTTAGAGACATAGATAACAGTTATCTACACTTCTGACTTGCCTGTCACAGTGCCATATATACAAGTTATTGATTGGACAATGATTGTACATTTAATAGTATATTGAGGGCACAAGATAAATCTGTGACAGAAAGTTACATTATTAGTCCCAGGATAAATAAATAACACACATCTCTGTGACACACATGTGTTGCAAAATATTTCAGTCAACGTGCTTAAGCCAGCAGCGTATAAATGTTGATTACCATACCTACTAGGAAAAATTCACTGAATGAGTCTTATGAATAGAGAGATCCAGGTCTGTCCTTTCGCTGCTTAGCCTAAGGACTTAATGAGGACGCAAATTGAGTGACTCAGATGAAAATTGTGTCAATTTTTATTATTTTTTTCAATCATTTTTCTACAGCAACATGTAGTGCATGGCATGGGTTGAACCATAAAAGAGAAACATCAGATGTCAGGAAGAAAGATGATATTAAAATGAGAAATACAGACGAACTTTGTGACGCTTAACTCCATATTACCTCCCTTGATTTTAGATTTGACTAAATACTGTACTGTTCCCGTGATGACCGGACGTTGCAATTAGATGAGTAGATAGCAAATAAAAAAAACACATCCAGAAATCATTACATGATATTGTTTTGCAAAGAATTCAATTTGTTCATTAAGCCATAAATAACAAGACGGTATTAAAATTTCTATTTCATAATGTCCGAAAAAAATACTTTAGAGACCGTAAACAGGAACCCGTCAGTTAGTAGCCTCTTTTTCTTTTAATTGTACTTACTATCATACATTGCTGTGGTACATCAGTAGAATACAAAAAGATTCCAAATTTAACATTTTTACAAATTGAACAGAAAAATAAGCCACAACAAAATACTTTTAGTCCTGAATCATTATATTCTATTATATCTTTGCAAAATTTTGATTTATTTATGAGTACATAAATTATTGGTACGAAATTATCGTCAACTGTTTTTGTAAGTACAATATAAAATGGCAGCTCCCATGCACCGATAATTTTGTTTTGTTTGGTTTACTTAAATTTCACAAGATGACAGAGGTAATTTGATTTTAAAGATATATATCTATGATAAAACTTAAAATTGCTATTCTCTTTAATAATCTTTTAGTTACCACATGCTACGGTGTAATATTATATGACTATTTTAGGGTTACAAATTAACAGCAAAAAAACCAACCCCTCACAGGACGTATGCCTATCGTATACAAGATACAAGATACAAGAAACTTTATTTTAAGTCGGTTTACATATTACAAGAAACATTAGCTTATAAGCTATTTACCCACAATAACAAAGACTACGAGACAGATAAACTCATTATCTCCACATTACTGAGGAAATTAAAGGAATGATTTTGAGGATTCGGTTTATGATATGCAGTCCGAAACGGAAAGTGTAACCCTTTCACCAAAACCTTGATTCGCTCAGTGTACTCCTTCCTCACCCCTATACAGTGTCACACTTATATCCTTGAGTGACCAGTAACATGACATTGTAAAGTGAGGGTCAAAATTGCATTAGTAAAATCATACAAAAATCTCTAAAATAAGGTATAACATGCTAAATATTATCTTTGTGTGTTTTACTTATTACATATTGTTACCTAACCAACTAGAGGAATCCCCTTTTGCTATAGCGTAGTACACTTGTAAAGACAAGTAAGTGGTCGCTTATATCAATTATGAGGCAAAATTTAAATGGCGTTGAAAAAGGGCAGCGTAAAAATGGGTCACTCGACGATAAGGAACTCCCTGTCCTCAGTACTCTTTTCTTCTTTTCATTAATCAACAAAATGTCCCAAAATCCAAATTAAGACTCATTGCTGATGATTCTGTCATTTACATGACAATCACTTCATCTTCATGCAAATCGATTTCCATAAATTAGAAGCTTGGGAGAGAGATTGGGTCATGGAATTTAACCCCGTTAAATGTTAAGTGCTTAGAATCTGGTAAGAAACATCCTCAGAAAGGTTTGCAATGGATAGCACTTAAAAATCCTACCAATGATTTTCTTTATCTGTTTTATTTTATCAAATTATCTTTTAGCTGATGCACCTTATCCACCTTTTACATGATTTTTGACTAATAATGATCTTCTGTGACAGTGCTCCCAGTCATAATCTTCATTGATTGTTTCAGAGTATCAAGTAGAACTAGAAGAAGAATACTTTTATTGTTGTTGTTTTTCATCTGATTATATATTTGTATATAAACAGACATGAGATGTATTGAGTTTATGGCATAATCTTTCAGGATGTACAGAAGCATTCAGTGCACACGCTGGTGTTCCGTTCCTTAAAAAGAACACATGATATGTTTATATCTGACCAGGGTAATATGCCACAGAAAGATGACAGAAGGTAAGTTGTTGAAATATTATTAAACTAACGTAGAAATTGAAGGTTGCAATTTCACTATATACTAGTTTCATTGATTTTAGGTTAGTCCGACTGATTGTTTGTTCTAGGGTTAGGTACATGTATGGGAAAGTGGGCTCAAAACTGATAAATAAGTTTGCATTTAACTTGCTCCACAATTCAACTTAAAGAATAAATATGTTTATAACTAGATAAGGAATCATTAAATGAAATAGTTATATGTTGTCACTTCTTGAATTGTTTTCGGCTGATTTAGTGCTGAAACTGGGTCATATTTCCAAATATATACAAATGTATTATAGTAAATAGTATAGATCTTTTTTCCCTCATTTGGTGCTATGGGCAAATAAATGTAAGTGAAACAATTCTAACAAAGGTAGCTTTTGATATAAAATTAAGCTGTTTTCATCTACTGATAAGGACAGTATTTTAATTCTTGGAAAAATATGAGTCCTTGTTAATTTCCCGAAAAACTTTTTTTGACAATTTTGGATAAAAAAGCAATTTTGGGAAGTTTTCAGTGGATCCATGTTTAAAGGAAAAAAAACAATGAGAGGATGGGATATAATTTTCACTGTTAAAAGATAAAACCAACATGAAAAGATAATGCTGTAATTCAGCTTTAACTTGAACTGAAATTTGAAACAATCAAATTCATCTGTTTAATGTTATTGTATCAAGTTACTTGAAAAAAAAGCAGCAATTGTATCAAGTATGACATACTTCTATTACATTATGTTTTGTCATGTTTACACAGTGAATGGTTTAGAAAGATGTGTAAAATTGATGATGAGTATGGTATAGTAAAGAATATGCCTAAAGAATCTGGTAGGAAACAGCAGCAACCAAGTACAGATGCCAGTAATCCATATGGACAATGGCAAGGTAAGCTGTGATACATACAAAATGTACATGCATTGCTATTAATTCTTAAGTGTGTCTGACATGTGAGTCATGGAATGACATTACTATCATTTTGTAATCTAGAGAGGAGAAAAATGAAAACAAGACAAAATTTTAAACAGAAACCTTACTCCTATTCTTTGGCTTTAATGGCAGAGCTTACACATTGTTTCCCTATAAGTGATTACTTTTAGATTGTGAAAGAAATTAAAGTCATAATATGGTGCAAGGAGAATGTGATGTTGTACATTTTATTGACGCTCATGAACAGACTCTGTCTCACAGTCTGCGATTTTCACTTCTAGATTTTAATAATGTTCATTATGGCTGTGAAGTCATCTCCCTTTTCAAAATAATTTTTTAAATGAGATTTTGATGAGATTTTGAAACATAAGTACATGTATAATTATAACTGATACTGAAGATACCTGTAAATTCAATGATAATTGTTATACTAAAGGATGAAAGAAAATAAAAAAATCCTTGATGTATTTTCTATAGACTCTAGAAATCCATATGCAGCCCAAGATGGCAGCACAGGACAACCAGGAATGGAGCTTGCACTAACAGATCAAAACAGGTATATCATTAGGTTGAAATTTCAAAAGTAATGACCATGTAATGAACTTAATTGTACAAACTACATATTGAAATATTAAATTATACAAGGAGTAAACCCATTATTGCACTAAGGTGATGATATTGTACTTGCCATTTAACATTTATTGTCATATTTAACTTGAAGAAAATGGCTTAATTTGACTAGTTAATAACCCCCCCCCCCCCCCCCCCCAAAAAAAAAATAAATAAATTACAACTTATGTGATGATACAATTGGATTTTCATTTAATTTTATTTTCAGGTCAGACAATCCCTCAGCTGTTGGCGGTCAGGATTCAAATAAGGTTTGTTAGTACATGTATTTATTAGCTCGACTATTCGATAAGAATAAGTAGAGCTATTGTAGTCACCCGGGCGTCGGCGTCGGCGTAACCACTTATGTTAAAGTTTTTGTAATAGTTCAAATATTTTCAAAGTCCATTGACATATGGCTTTGAAACTTTGCACACTTGTTCACCATCATGACCCCATCCTGTAGACAGGAAGAGGTAACTCTATCAAGCATTTTGACAGAATTATGCCCCTTTTTTCGACTTACAATTTACGTTAAAGTTTTTGTAATACTTCAAATATTTTCAAAGTCCATTGACATATGGCTTTGAAACTTTGCACACTTGTTCACCATCATGACCCCAACCTGTAAACAGGAGGAGTTAACTGTATCAAGCATTTTTTTTTACTATCAAGCACTAAGAATAGTCGAGCATTGCTGTCCTACCGACAGCTCTTGTTAGTTATATAATTATTTAAAGTGCAAGTTTATATTACATTTGTACAATGACATTGTTCTGGCTGTATAATACAAACCGACCAATTTGTAGTCTCACAGGTCTTGCCTATGAATTCAGGAAATTCAAAAGAATAGAGTGGAGACCAAAAAATCTTGAAATATTTGTATGAAATAAATGGTTGAATTCTTTTATTAAAGTTTGGTTTCTTTATCACATACAGCACATTGAAGTCCTCAAAAACTCAAATATATGACTAAAATTACCAGTAAATGAATATTGTGCATTTATATGATAGTCAAGAAAAAAGATGGCTTTCATGGTTAACATGTCAGCTTCTCGTGCTAGCGTTAATATGTTCCAGTTAAATTAGTTTCACAACAATGTTTCCTCATATGACAGTAGTAAATCTATAAAATAGACTCCAGCATAGTTCATACAAGTTGTTAATAAATGAGTTTCTATTAAGTTGAAATATACTCTACATTATATAATTATCCATATACTTAAATGGTTGAGTGTTTGTTGTTGAATATATCATTTTAATATTGAAAACTTTATTTTAGGCATTGGTAACTGTAGGCTCACAACAAGCTCTCGTACCAAAGAAAGCACCTACCATGCCGAAACCACAGTGGCATCCTCCATGGAAACTTTACAGAGTAAGTTAATATATAGGGTATTAGAGTACACATCATTTGTTTGACTATCAGACTTTTAAATCAAATAAGATCAACATGTACAGGTCTGTTTTGTGTAAGGTATTTTTGTGCATCTATACTTATGTCTGATTGATTGAAAGAAATAAGGTGTGACTAATATAGTTTCAAAATACAGACTGTGTAATTCAATGGGGGAAAATTTTAACCAGTGATACAGTTGTCCAGCAGAAGGACTAATAATTCAAGATCAAGAATTCCTGTGGTCAAGTCCTACCTAGAAACTGCTGTTTTCTTTCAGTAAAAATTCATTTTACATTTTTTCACTTCACTCAGGTGTGAATAGGTCCTGAAAGGTCTGTGTAGATCTTTGGAACTGTAATGTGTGCTGCAATAAGCAGAGAGAAATATTTCTAAGGGAGATAAATAGATTCTTGTAAGCAAATGTCAAAGGGAGAAAACTGTAGAATCAACAAGTGTGTACATAACTTACACTTTGAAAAACATACACTTTGTACAATATTGATAAATGTAACACAAAGTTTGGATAGGGGCCATAGTGTATCATGTACAGAAACAATATTTATGAAAATGGAATATTATTGCAATAGAAATACATTTACTGTATTATTTGAAATATTCTGTCTAAAATTGACATAGCACTATTTGAATTGAAATTTCTACTAAACACTTATTTCATCTACTTTTATTAATGATTAATATGTTATTCATCCAAGAATTACACGAGAAGTTACAGGGAAATTGTTTGTAATTTCAGGTAATCAGTGGACATTTAGGTTGGGTAAGATGTGTAGCTGTGGAGCCAGGTAATGAATGGTTCGTAACAGGAGCTGCAGATAGAGTTATAAAGGTATGTCTGATTTGTGACCTCTGTCTGGCTAACAAAATGCATAGGTGACCTAATTTCATTTTTGACCTTATTTCATTTATGACCTAATTTCATTTGTGACCTAATTTTTACATTTGATACCATCTTTGGTCATCACTTTATGTTTTATCATGGTATGTAAATCTTTGAAAAAGTGTAAGAAAAGTCCTAAAAAAAGTTGTTCATCAAAAATGTCAATTTAATATACTTAAACTATTTTATGATAATGCAAATAATATTAGAAAATATAAGGCTTCAATTCAACATACTTAAACTACTTTATAAAAACGTAAATGACATCAGAAAATTTAAGGCTTTTATAGTAGCTTTATTTAACATTCTTTATTGATTAACTCATCATCAATAAGTAAATACATTTACATTATTATGTTTTCATTGTACACATTGCAGACTTTGGATTTACAGGAGAATCTAGCCTGCCTGATATAAATATAGTCCTCGGCTAGTACTTTAATGTCTTATTTATCTCATTTAGGCTATATTCTCCCATATATCCTGTCAGCAAGTCACTAATAGTTTATCAAATACAGATGTTTGATGTAGTCAAATTAAAGAAGTAGATTTCACATACACAAAAAAACCTAGACAAATAACGTAATGTCAGAATAGTTCAGGGTTAGTTTTGTGTGGCAGAATTTAACGTGGAAATTTTCAGGAAATTTTATAAAATCCAAGTATCAGAATGATTTATTAGAAACAGAGATAGAAATAAAATCAAGTTGTTTGTAATTTCAGATCTGGGATCTGGCAACGGGAACATTAAAGCTGTCATTGACAGGTCATATAAGTGCAGTACGAGGGGTGTGTGTAAGTCCGAGACAGCCGTACCTCTTCTCTTGTGGTGAGGACAAAAAGGTCATGTGCTGGGATCTTGAACAGAATAAGGTAATGCATGTTTATCATAAAATACAGGTTGTGTTAAACTCTGGCAGCAACAGAATTTACCCATGCAACCAGTGAAGACCTAGCTCAACTGGCTTATTTGTGCCATCTGATCTTTGTCTCTACTGTTCACTATTGAGACAGTAAATGTTTTGAAATTTCCTCTAAATATGAAAGTATAAGTATTTATATGTATGTATTAAACCTACTTTTTTAAGTGTAAGGATTTTGGTAGGGCACCTACATGTACAATAGACTGGAGGAGTGAGCAAGTTATATCGGAATACCTTATAATGCAGTTGATGTGTTACAAGTAATAAACCTGACTTAAGATTGTTCTATTGTTTTACAGGTTATAAGAAATTACCATGGTCATCTCAGTGCAGTATACTCCATAGATATTCACCCCACTATTGATATCATAGCCACATGTGGGCGAGACAGTACTTGTAGGGTAAGTTTTATATACTTAATATATTCAAGTTGGCCCATTGTTAGAACAGTAAAAAAACAACAATTAATGCATCAGGGCTTCCATTAAGTTCAAACAATTTTAGTCAGATAATGCAAAATCTCTGCTGGGATTTTTGTGTGTGCATATTTCATAGCTTATATTCAGTCATATTCCCAATTGAAAATAATATATTAATTTGAATAATTTCCCAATCCACAGGAAAAATTACCAATTGAAAGTTACGAAATAAAAATATTGAATAACAAATTCTAAAATCTTTGAAAAAAAGGACCTATCCAATGTTATGGAGCTTAAATGTTAGATGACATCCTAGACAGTGACATGTCTGTATGAATTTATATTTTAGCTTGATTTTTCAAAGAATAAGGAGAGCTATTTGTTGTACCCAGCTAGCTCGGCGTAGCACTTTGGTTAAGTTTTTGTGTGTAAATTGGTATCTATAAAACTATTAAAGGGAATGGGTTGGAACTTCAAGGAGGTCACATTCCAAGGCCCATAACTCTAACATGGATTTTAACAGAATTATGGCCCTTTTTGAACTGAGAAAATTCTACATTACCCACACTTTTTTTTTACTGTAAAGCACCGAGAATGGCGGAGCACACTGACAGCTCTTGTTTACTATGTAAAATAAAGATATTTAAGACAGTAAACCAATGATGTTTATCTTCTATTGGGAAATACTTCAGTCATTTGTTCTAATTGAGTTTTATTTTGAAATTAACAGATATGGGATATGAGAACTAAAGCATGTGTTCACACGTTTGCTGGTCATACCAACACAGTAGCCGAGGTTAGATGCCAGGCAGCCGAACCTCAGGTAAGTTTATTTTATAGCAACATCAATTAATTTATATATACATCATAGTCATGGCTGCCATCAGCCTTTTCATTTAGATTTAATGGATATAAAATTTATTAAACTGTTCTTTTTTTAATGTAAAATAAAAATCTTTTTTATGATTTTTTTTAATATGATAATCAAATGACAATTGAAGAAACTGTCACAATTTGCCATCATTATAACCATGTCTTAACTTAGTTTTGAATGAATCATCTTTTGGTACTCAATGAAAACTAAACAATGTAAATTTTAAATAAAAAATCACTTGAAGTACATTAAGCCCTATGATGCCAAGGAACTAAGGTAGCCATTTAGATTGCAGATCTTAAATGCAAATTAACAGTGAATAAACCAAACTCCTCACACTGGTTATGTCACACATTGCTTCTTTAACCACTGCTATCACTATAATGCACATGACGATAGGCATACCATGTGACCAGATATGGTGGCTCTCTTTGTTATTTTTATAAAATATTCTTATTTTGTACTTTTTTGTACATTATGCATCATATTTAAATGAATGTCACCTAAAGTGATAGAAAGTATTACATTTTAAAATTCAAAGTGAAAAAAATATACTTAGCTGAATTCTACGTTTGGTGACCAACCAGGGGAAGTAACAACTGCAAGGAATTTGCAAATAATCTTCTCTTCATAATTCAAGGGAAAGAATAATTATGGTATAAATTATTTTGAACAGGTGATCACAGGAAGTCATGACTGTACTGTAAGATTATGGGATTTAGCTGCAGGCAAGTCACGGGTCACCCTCACAAATCACAAGAAAAGTGTTCGCTCCATATGTTTACATCCTACACAGTAAGTTTACATACAAGAAGTATCTGTTCTCAGAAAGATATTTATATATTGTCATCTCAGTGCAATAACTGATTAACTGCTATTAAATTAAGAAGCACTTATTACGTTATTGCACTAAGGTGATTACACAATGACATAATTATTATAAATTTTACATCAACAGTGTATTTAACTTTTGTTATATAACATTTTTAGCTGGAATATTTGCCTGGTGTCTTAATAAGCAACTATGTGTTTATTGTTGTCTTTGCAAGGGAATCTTGCTTCACGAGGGACCCTCAACCTTTGGAATAGGCTGGCCATTGCTGTGCCCTACCTTAGGAATACTTTTTCAAACACCTTTTTTTACCTTTCAGATATACATTTGCATCAGGATCACCTGACAACATAAAACAGTGGAAATTTCCCGACGGGAACTTCTTACAGAATTTATCTGGACACAGTGCCATTATAAACAGTTTAGCTGTCAACTCTGACAATGTCCTGGTCTCTGCAGGTTTGTAACACTCAAGATATTTTTGTTTAGATTTAAAGATAATTTAGTAAAGCAAATTTTCATCTTTTGAGGGTTGTGAGCAGTTTTGGCAGGCTTATGCCTTAAGATACAGAAATATAACTCCAAAGTTTCGAGTTTGATAAACTTTGTGAAATAGAAATTTATTTATTAATCGTGATTTCTAAATCAATACAGAATTAAACCAGTCTCCACTTAGGAAAAGTCTGACAATAATCTTTGCTCATGACCAATTTATAAAATAAGAAATGTTTAGTTGACTCATTTCTGAATACTTTCAGGTTTGGTATATTCCTTTTACATAAGTCCGGAAAGAGTTTATTAAGTAAACCAAAACAATAGGAATTGAAGAGCTATGTACATGTAAAACTGTAATATGCATGTACATGAATAAATGTTACTCTTCATGGGTTCTTTAAATATCTTCATAATTAATTGCAACAATATTAGATATGTGTTTAATCAACTTTCCTTAGATATATGTTGATAATTTTAGCAAACTTATCTGATTTCAGCTGATAATGGGTCCATGCATTTCTGGGATTGGAAGACCGGGTACAATTTCCAGCGAATGCAAGCAGCTGCACAACCCGGATCAATTGACTCGGAGGCAGGAATATTTGCAATGACATTCGACCAGAGTAGCACTAGATTGATCACTGCTGAGGCAGATAAAACTATCAAAATATACAAGGAAGACGATTCTGCTGTATGTAGCCTTGAATTGTATTGCTTTTCATCTATGACAATATACATATAACATTTTAAAGAACAATGTTTCTCATTGTTTGAAAGATGTTTCATAATGTACCTTTTAATAACCAAATGTTAGAAGCCTGAGTGACAGGGACTCGGACCCGGAACCCTCGGTACTGTGGTATCTGGCCAATTACTCATCTTCTACCTGAAACAGTGAACATTTCTAAACCACGACATACTCTCCTGCTATATTGAAATACTTCCTCAAATTTCTCAGGGTTACAGAGCAATATGAATTAAACTTTGAGCTATTTTCAGTCATGGCCCCACATTGGGTGCCAAATGTCAGAGGGTGAGAAAAAAGTGCAGTCTGACCAGGAATCGAACCCGGAACACATGGAATACCATTCTTCTGCTCTACCGAGTTATTCAGCCGCTTACACCCATCTTCTCCCCTAAATGTTGATCATTCAGAAAGTAACCAAATTTTGAGGACAAAGATTATATTGTTTTTTTTTCATTTCAGACGGAGGAAAGCCATCCCCTCAACTGGCGACCAGATATTGTCAAGAAGAAAAGATACTGACCTCTACAGTGTGTGGCTTTTATTCTTCTTATGAAATTATTGCAACTCTGTTAACTTTGTATGAACTGGACAGCATTAAACACTAAACTTTCGTAATTATGTAAAAAAAAATCCAGTATTTAATGCAAATCTAGAAGGGTGACAGGGTGTGACAAAAATTTTTGGACACAACACCAGTAGCAATGATAAATGGTTGCATTCATTAGAAAGGTTTATGGAATCATATGTAAAATAAAAATTCTCAATTTCAGTCAACTTATAATGTTTATCATTAATCATGTAATTATACAGAATGTCATTTTAAATGAGAAATAAATGTAATACTAGTATTTCATTAGTGGTTGTTGCATCTTTTATAAGCACAAATTAGGGGAGCAGTGGATGCCCACCTGTCAACCCAGGGGCCTGAGGTCTCCAGGAAATGTATTTCAGAGTGATTCAAAGAAAGTTTAAGCTTTTATCATAAGCTAAAATAATGATAAAACTAAAACAATGAAAGAAATTTGTATGATTAATGTGAAATATAAATGGGAGGTAAGACGAAATAGTGTTGCTAATTTCTACATCTGGCTTTGCAGAAGTGAACCCCTATTAAAGCCCTTCATTTCACAGGCAGAACTTTCTCCACCTAGACTGAATGATTTACATTACTAGAAAAATTTCTTTTATCAAAAACTTTGCTTTCTTCAACAAACAAGAGGGCCATGATGGCCCTGAGGTCGCTCACCTGTATATAGGCCCCCCCCAACCCCCCCCCCCCAACGTTGCAGAGCCAATTTAACCCAACGGCTTTTATTTGCACAAACTTGGTAGACACCCATAAGAAGATGTTTCATGCTAACCATTTAAGCTCTAGCTCATTGGGCTTTTTAAAAGAAGATTTTTTTTAAGTTTTTACTATACACATATAGTTAAAAACAATGACACCCCTGGGGCCGGGCCAGTTTTGACCCCAGGGCTTTTATTTGAACAAACTTTGTAGACACTTACTAGAAGATGTTTCATGCTTAATATCTAAACTCTAGCTATTTGAGTTTTTTCAAAGAAGATTTAAAGTTTTTGCTAAACACATATAAAGAAAATCAATGACCCCCGGGGCGGGGCCAATTTTGACCCCTGGGCTTGTATTTGAACAAACTTGGTAGACACCTATTAGAACATGTTTGATGCTCAATATCTTAGCCATAGATCTTTGAGTTCTTTAAAAGAAGATTTTTTAAGTTTTTACTATATGCATATAGGGAAAATCAATGACCCCCGGGCGGGGCCAATTTTCACCCCAGGGCATTTATTTGAACAAACTTGGTAGACACCCATTAGAACATGTTTCATGCTAAATATCTTAGCTCTAGCTCTTTGGGTTCTTTAAAAGAAGATTTTTTAAGTTTTTACTATATGCATATAGGGAAAATCAATGACCCCCCGGGGCGGGGCCAATTTTGACCCCAGGGCTTTTATTTGAACAAACTTGGTAGACACACACTAGAAGATGTTTCATGCCAAATATCTAAGCTCTAGCTCTTTGAGTTCTTTAAAAGAAGATTTTTTAAGTTTTTACTATATGCATATAGGGAAAATCAATGACCCCCGGGGCGGGGCCAATTTTCACCCCAGGGCTTTTATTTGAACAAACTTGGTAGACACCCATTAGAACATGTTTCACGCTAAATATCTTAGCTCTAGCTCTTTGGGTTCTTTAAAAGAAGATTTTTTAAGTTTTTACTATATGCATATAGGGAAAATCAATGACCCCCCGGGGCGGGGCCAATTTTGACCCCAGGGCTTTTATTTGAACAAACTTGGTAGACACACACTAGAAGATGTTTCATGCCAAATATCTAAGCTCTAGCTCTTTGAGTTCTTTAAAAGAAGATTTTTTAAGTTTTTACTATATGCATATAGGGAAAATCAATGACCCCCTGGGGCGGGGCCAATTTTCACCCCAGGGCTTTTATTTGAACAAACTTGGTAGACACTCATTAGAACATGTTTCATGCTAAATATCTTAGCTCTAGCTCTTTGGGTTCTTTAAAAGAAGATTTTTTAAGTTTTTACTATTTGCAAATAGGGAAAATCAATGACCCCCCGGGGCGGGGCCAATTTTGACCCCAGGGCTTTTATTTGAACAAACTTGGTAGACACTCACTAGAAGATGTTTCATGCCAAATATCTAAGCTCTAGCTCTTATGGTTTTTTAAAAGAAGATATTTAAAGTTTTTTCTTTCGGTTGCCATGGCAACCAGAGTTTTGCATGGAATTAAATTCTTTGAACAATTTTTAAAGGTGACCACCAAAGGAACATTCCTGTGAAGTTTGGATGAAATTGGCTTAGTGGTTTATGAGGAGATGTCATTTAAAGTAAAAGTTTACGGACGGAGGGACGGACGCCGGACGAAAAGCGATCACAAAAGCTCACCCTGTCACTTTGTGACAGGTGAGCTAAAAATGAGAGGCACACTTGGTTTTATGTTTATGTCAAATCCTTATGAAAGACATATTTGTGCCATTTATTTTTTATGATTTGCGATTCAATAATTTTTTTTGTCATATCTCACCTTTTTCATTTACTTTTTGAACCAATTCAACAAACATGACAAACAAGCATTTTAATATGTAATAAAATTTTATTGCATAATATTACTTTATGTTGTATAAAATTGACAAAGTCACAATACAAAATATTTCTTTCTACGCTACATAAATGATTAAAAGATACATGACAAATGAAATATATGAAGCTTTTACATACTACTAACATCAAATGGAAGACAAAAAGCAATACAAACTCTCTTTAAATATTCAACATCATGAATCCAGTTTTACAACCTTATTACAGTGAATTTAAGGTTTTAATTTCTTCAGGAAATGAGACTTTTCTTGCTTTATGCAAAACAATTTATTTCAAGGACTTTACAAGCCCATAACTCTTGGATTCCTAATAGAACTGCTCCTACTTCCATTTTTAAATGAATTTTAATAAATTTTTAGGATATTACTACAAAAAATTTGGAAGTTGGTCAGCTATTAGACTAAGTTTGGTCAGACTGCAGAGGTGTCCAGAATGGACATGTTCTATACAAATGGCAAGGGCTTTACAGTTGCTGTTGACTTTAATGTTTTTGTTTTTTTTAATGTATACTGTTTTGATATTTAATACTGGCAAATTGCGTTTTTTTTCCCCAATAATCTACACTGGATTTTTAATTTACTTATCAATTCTGTATAGTACTGCATCACAGGAACACTTCATGTACAGATTTCAACATAGTGAGCTGAGGCATGAAAATGAATTTGAAAAGAACAATAAAGACTTTATTTACATGATTATAGATTTTCACAGATGACAAAAAGCAGACAAAAGCACTTCCATTTCAGAGCAATTATAAGAAACAAACACAAGACGTGACAAACTAAAATAATATATAATAACTAATACTGTACTATGTACTGGCAAGTTTGCACAGAGATTCTGAGATACACACTGTTACAGTATTTAAATGCCATTTTTGAACACACATAGGTATTTTAGTCACATGTGAACCATTCTAATTTGTTTCATGATTTTCATAATTACGTAAATAACATCATAAAAAAAATTGTCTACAAGGTTGTTACTTGTGTTTAAAATTTAACATGGAATAAAAAATCACACTGTTTTCAATTCATAATCGACATCAATTATTGACTAATTTATAATAAACTTCTGATAAACTAACTTCAAATTAATAGTCTCATTTCATAGTGAAACTAATTTCTATTTTCATAAATGCATATCAATAATATTTCGCATAAGTTTTCAGTTATTTAAGTGCAAACTTAAATTCATATACACACTTACTTTGACAAACTTTCAATTGTGATAAAATTTCACATAGATTCTCAGTAAGCTTAATTCTAACTTCAAAATAATCCTTTTAGTTTGAAAAACTTCCATTGTAATGAACTAACTGAAAAATCTTGTAGTAAGTGAAAAATCTAGTCTTGTTAGAAAAAACAAACATGAAAAATATCTTAACCTCTCTTTTACGAACAGTTTGACAAATCTACACAAAAATGAGAAAAATTAGAATTATTTTACACTGCAACAGCCATCCTTATTATCTTACTAAAACAAATTAAGCACAACATAAAATACAAAAACACAAAATATACTTTTACAATAACAAGCTTCTAACATCAATATATCAAATGACAGCAGTTTTGTTTTAAATAAAATATGGCCTATAATTATATATCAAGAGAAAATCTAAAACTACATTCACCTCACAGGTAAATACTCCTTTATAAGCTTAATAAATAATATCAGATTTGACTAATTCATTTTTCCCTAAGAATTTTACAATTATGTAATTAAGATCATTTTAGTTTAATTTTGCAATTTTATTTTGTAAATGTTTTATTCCCTCTAGTTTTTTTTGTTGCAATAAATGTTTTAACTTGCTTAAAAAAAGTTGTTAGTAAATTCAAAATTCCTTTATCTATCAAAATCAAGATTAAATAAATCAAAAGTAATGATCATTTTCAGAAAGTGAAAAATGTTAGCATGAAATCTATAAATAGGATTAAAATATGATTTTGCAGACTTTGATTAAAGTGCTCAGTGCTTAATGTATATAATTTGTAGTTGTCTAGTACAGTAATTACTCATTCCTAGACCCAACAAAATAGTGGTCTTAATAATGATAGAACGATCTTCATTTATGCTCGACATTTATCCTTTGAAAAAGCTAAATATTGCTTTTTTTTTTCTGGAATTTTCAATGTCATCTGTTTAGCTGAACAATTCTGTAATCTGTTTAGTTAAATGTTTCTATAATGTACTGGTTTTCAACTTTTGATGTGTACTTTTTTCTTTTACTATACATGTATTGTATACTATTACTATGTATTTATATATAGAAGAGAATAATGATAAAATGACTTCATGATACTTTGTTAACTCAGCATAAAACTTTTCTCCCGCTTTTTTTCCAAAATTTGTATGCATTCAATTAAAAAATCGCAAGGAGACCCTCGACTGTATGAAATGACATTAATATGGGTGAAAATTTTACACTATCTGCTTTCATATTTATACTAGTTTTATTAAACATCGTGCTGTGGCTACAAACATACGAAATGACGTAGAAATGGACATGGACTTTCAGACACAAAGATACGAGAAAAAAACAAATAATATCTGTAAAAGATTGTCTTTTTTCTGTACACAAGACATAATATCAATTGTTCTATTCTGTTCTAGTACAAAATTTACTACCTTCCATCCAACAGATATTCGTGTAAATAGGTGGGCATGTAACATACAGGTAGTAATGTCAATACTTTAAAATTTTCATTGTAGCGTCACATACGGCACGTCGCTATAATCATCGTGTTTTTTTCTATTTAACACATACATTCAGCTTTAAAAACGAGGTTAGTGCTACAAATATAAATTAAAAGACTGAAATAAATGAAATTGTGCTAGAAATTTTCTACACAAATATTTTTAACTGAAGAAGCGACAACTGAAAATATGTGGAGATTTTTCATCGATCAATAAAAAAACACAAAAAAACTTGCAAATGATCAGACTGATTAAAGTGATATTGCACATAAAGTATTAGTTTTTACAAATTTAAAATTGCCAACTTAAGTATCTACAAAAGCACTACATACATATGGTTTTGAAAAAAATGGATTTTTTGGCCTCTTTGAATAAACAAAAACAATTCTATCCTAAACACAGTAAAATTAAAAAAAAAAAAATCGTAAGAAATGTACATAAGCACTTCTATTGAATTTTCCAACATCTTATTCAATATTTGTTTTGCTTATAAACAACAACCAAAATTTTTAAATGATGTTGAAAATAAAAAAAACTCTATTTCCAAAGGAACACAAAATTTTCCAAGGTAAGAAAACACATAACAAAAAACCCTGTGGGAGATATTGGTCACAATATGTTGGTCATTTCTTAAACAATAATGCACTTTTTTGTGATAAAAAATATATCTTTCGAAATATTGCTAATGTAAAGTCCAAGATTATTTTTTCTTCTTGCCGAGTGTGGATTGTTGGGCCTGATATTGGGCCTTGCGTTGGTTGAACAGGTTCATTTGATCCTCGAGATTCTTCTTGCTAGTCTCAATCTTCTGCTTCTGGTCTGAATGCTGACGCTTCAAGCTGTCAAAACTGGCATGTAGCTATAAGTAGAAATATTGGGCTATGAATAGAAATATATATCTATAAATAGAAATTTGTAGCTATAAATAGAAATATGCAGCTATAAATATTGGGCTATGATTATAAATATTGGGCTATGACTAGAAATATTTTAGAATTATGTAGCTATAAATAGAACTATGAGTTTAATATGGAAATACATGTATATTGTTTTCTATAGAACTGAATACCTTTAAATAAAATTCTGGTAATATAAAAATGTGAATTTAGCAGGCAACATAAACAACAGAAATAATGCAAAATAATAGGATTCAAATGAGATACAGATTTTCATATATTTTTATTCCTCTATAGCTTAATATAAGAACTATCAGTCAAATTTATGATCTAACAGTCTTGCTTAATAGTAAGAACGTCCGGTTTGTAATCCAGCTGTTGCTGGTTCAATCTTAAAGTGAGGCAAAAATTCTATGTGATATTTGATCTCAAAATTTGAGTCTAATGGTCTCATGTCTCACAATGCTGATTTAGAAATAATGTGGGATTAGTAGATGAAACTTTTTGAAATTACCAATGAATCATCCAGTTGAAGTGGACTGACTGCAGAGATAAGATCAAAAATAAGTTCAAATATGCATAAAAACTAGACAAGAATTTATGAAGCTTTTTACCAAATTCATATAGGAGAAACCTGTTTTTTAAGAATTAAAGATATACTATGCTCAAATTTGAGATCAGAAAATATTGATAATTGCTACACAGTCTCTTTGTAAATATGAAATAAACATGATTTGACTTTACAAAAAGTTGATATGTCATGTTTAAAACTCTACACACTACAGGTCATCACAGTATATAGTGTCGTTAAAAAAAAACTGGCAGTTTTTTTAAGGAAAGACCAACTTTACCTGTCCTATAATAGAGAATGTGACTTCCAATGCATAGTTTATTCATTTTTTATTCAAATTAGACATATTCAGTTAGAATGACATGGGTTGTAATTAATTTCTTCAATTAAAATATTTTACTCAAAGATGAGCATAGTATATCTTACTTCCAATGAATTATGCCTTTTAATTATTATATCTATAAAATGATCAATAATAAGTAAAAATTGTCATACATCTTTCTCTGCTTCTTTAAGCTCCGCCTCCTTTTCTTTCACCTTGATCACAAATGTCTGTCTCATTTCCTCCTCTTTCTTCTGTAATTCTGCTACATGTTCCTGACGTTTCTGCTCATATGTCTCTGATAAACTGAAATAAAAACAAGTGAAATGTTTATAATGACAAATGAAAACTAGCATCAGGGTTGCCTTGTCAAAGAAAATGTCCTAACATACGTTCTTTATTTTCTTAATAGCAATGTAGAAGAACATTAACTGTTTATTGAAAGAGTTTTTAGTTACTGCTTAAGTTGGTCATACCAAATTCAGTCTACCCAGGCTTTACATTAGTGATATACATATAGATTATTTATATAAATTTGCAATCTAGATCTACCATATTGATTTCTTAAATAGATTTGCCATATAGATTTTGACAGGAATCAGAAAGTATAAGGTGGGGGGGTGGAGAGGGGGAGGGGGGAGAAGAAAGACAAGTCCAGGGATGATAAGGGTAACAGTCAACAATGTTATAAACTTATATGAGCCGCGTCATGACAAAACCAACATAATGGGTTTGCGACCAGCATGGATCCAGACCAGCCTGCGCATCCGCTCAGTCTGATCAGGATCCATGCTGTTCGCTTACCAACTCTACTACAAGAAGAGAAACTGATAGCGAACAGCATGGATCCTGATCAGACTGCGCGGATGCGCAGGCTGGTCTGGATCCATGCTGGTCGCAAACCCATTATGTTGGTTTTGTCATGACATGACTCATATAATAACCAATAAAAGGTTACCTCTTTGACTGGTCATCAGAGAATCCCATCTGTTCAAGCTTATGACGTCTGTACAGCTCAAAATGTTTGCTGTGAGTAGTCTCCCTTAGATCCTCCATGTTTGTACGGATCAACATCTCTCGTAACTTCACAAAATCACAGTGATTCTCGTTTTCAACTGAAAGTTAAAGTATAAAATATCTGTTTAAATAAATTAAGCAGGAAATTTGTTTTTTTTTTATTAAATTCAATTAGACAATAAACAAAATAATCAATTACTAATAATTACAGGCCTCTTTGATTTGTTTTTATCATCAAATTTCACCCAGTAAGATAGTAAAATCCACATTAAACACTCTTATTAGCAAAAGCAAGTCAAACAAATTCTCTTCTACTTTATTCTAAAAATTAGCATTCTACACTGACCCAGCAGTGCAAGCTTAGAAAAAGGTAAAAAAACCTTCACTTTTACTCCCTGCCCCACTTCCAAGGGTTTAGGGGCTGAGGTTAAAATTGACTAGCGTATATTTTAACCTTAGTACAAATTTCATAGAGATAACATTAAACCTATACCTTGAACAGTTCCCCATGGATACTGTCTAGCTTTCACCATTTTATTACCAATCTTGACTTCATCACTTGAACCTACTACAGCAAATGGCAGATGACCCTGAAAAACAAAAACATGGTCTTGCTTTACATTTGCACAAATCTGTACACAGAAAATAAAAGATTTATTTTTTTGAACGCTTAAAAGCCTATAGCATTTCTCTAACAACTAGTTTACTATAAATAAATAAGCCAAAGAAAAACATGAATGGTTAAGAAATATATCACTGCAACATAGAAAGCTTTTTAGAATCTTTAACCTCCTGAATTTGTATAATGGATTTGCCAAAAAAATGAATTTGGACCAGTCCATTCAAGGTTTAAGGGATTTCAATATCAAAATATATAATCAAGATGCCATCAGTATATAGCCAGGTCAGACAGTAAAGATGTGCAGGCCGGCCTGGCTCTATACTGGTGGCAAAGGCTAATCATTTCCGACTCAAGCAGCTTAAAGTGCAAATCTTAATGAAGTTAATCAAAGTGACCATGTGGTATAAGACATCGACTTATGGCATATTCATTTATAACTTAAAATAACAATATAAAAGTGTCATTTTTCTCTCTTTAGTATTTGTATTTACTTAAGTAACGGCCAATTGAACTCTTCTGTTACTAGACTCAATCACGTGATAAACCCTTAATATTTATCTTTACATGTAAAGGCTGTAGGGTACATAAATTTGAATAAATCATAAATTATATTTTTCTGCATCAAATATACATGTCCAGTTTTCTTCAGACAGACCTTAGTACACACAAACTAGAGCAAGTTTACTTCCGATGACATCTGGCCTTGAGGTTATAAATTTTTTTCTGAGTTCTGTCTCAAATCTCAGGACTTTGATTGGTCAGTGTACATGCTGTGACAGTTTCTGACCAATCAAATACACCGGCCTTGAGTTTATAAAACTTTTCTCAAATCTCAGGACTTTGATTGGTCAGTGTACATGCTGTGACAGTTTCTGACCAATCAAATACACCGGCCTTGAGTTTATAAAACTTTTCTCAAATCTCAGGACTTTGATTGGTCAGTGTACATGCTGTGACAGTTTCTGACCAATCAATTACTGGAGGTTTGAGATTGGAGAATTTCTTTATAACGTTTGAACATGGTATCCTTATTCTATGAAATATCCTCTTGAAACTAGCATTCATAATAAACAATCTTCACAAGTTTTTTTTTAATATTGAATAATTTTTGATGAAAAAATTCTGTAAATAAAACTTTTTCTGACCAAACCTAGGTGTAACACAGTGATGTGTGTTTTGATGTTTTTTCATCTTTCAAGCAATAAAACTCTTAAACATGTTCAGGCTATATTGAAAGCTTTTGTTAGAACATAAAAAATCAGCATAACAATTGTTAGTGCAAATGTACATCATTGTTTTCAAACACAATACAGGTACTTTGTACAAGCCGTTATTCAGCAGTTATAAAATTTATCAACTAAAATTAGGTTACACTGTAGGTATTACAATTAACAAAACTGAACTACACAAAGCAAAAGAAAATAAAAGCAGCGAAATGTTCTTCAAGCTTTAAATAAGACTATTGATCAATAAACAGCTGAAAGTCTGCATGATAGGTCACACACAGATCTTGTGGGGACTTTCCAATTTAAGTGGAAGTGGAAAGACCAGATACCACTTGTCTATAATTCAATATTTAAGGCCCAAAAGTGGCTTGGTGGATAAAACCAACAGCCTTTTGAAAGCTGGTCTGTGGTTTATTAAGTCACACCAAAACCATTAAGGTCATATGGTGACTAACTGTTGTGACAAACAAAGACCCAAGTGCCCGACAGAGTACCCTTGCTACCTGGATAGCTTCCTTGTATGTTATAATTCAACATTTCAACAAGAACAGTTCTTTCCATGCAATAGTTTGTATCTAAATTGATCAAACGTCTTATAAAAATAAAAGATAGCAGGTCACAAATAAGCTAAATATAGAACTCCTTGTGGTCAAAGGGAGGTAATCAACATAGTTACTTTAATATCTTCACGTCGTACAACTCTGCAATACTATTTAACAACAAAAAATGCATAAATGAAAATAGTAATATCTATACATATTAGACAGATTATTGTTAGTGATGATAATGTTCTAAAGCTGGGCTTTGTATGGAACATAAAAGCTGCAATAAAATCTGTTAAGTTATTATATAGAAACATATACAGGGACTCTTTTTATCAAAATAATTTATCATTGAAAACACGCTCATATAAACCTTTACCAATTTTGCATATTAAATTTCCAATAAAGCATTTTGATAAAAACTCTTAAACAATAATATATCTATTATTACAAAATTTTAAATTCTTTATATTACAAAATTCTTACACATATTTACAGATAACAAGGTCTGACACTAGCTTTGGACTTTTTTAAGCATTAGATTAGGTATAAATTGTTTCACATGTAATAAAAAAATTATTAAACCCACATATACAGAAAATAATTGAACCAAATTTTTAGAAATGCAACAAAACTCTTCAGTTTTAAACGGCAGTTGGAGTGTTGAAGTACTAGTTCAGGAAATCTGATACTATATAATAACAATAATTATAAGTTAAACTTGGAAATGGCTCAGAAATGGATGGGAATGTAAACAAGAAAATGGCAAATAGATGAAATGCAAAGCATGGTTCTAAAAAGGCAGTCACTAAAAGCAGTATATGAAAAAAATTCCCCAGGTGAGACTGCACGGAAGTTCAGGCTGGCCTGTCTCTATACACGTGGAAAGGCTATTTACTTTTAGTACCAACATGGTAAATGTTTAAGACTTACATTCATGGCATTGTTTGTATCAGCAACTGTCTGGTCGTCTGTCGGGAAATGATAAATCTGTACACCATTTGACTGTAACTCATTCATGATCTGTAAGTAAGCAAATGAACATCATTTATCATTTTAGTTATTCAATACGAGTTTATAAATTGCTTATCATCATTTTTTTTTTAAGCTTTGTGATTTTTTCGTATGAAGTTACAATGCAGCTTGTATCACTAGAATATACAATGAAATACAGAAAGTATCCACACGATTCTATGACAAAATTCAATTCACTAATATAAAGGTTATATGCCAACTTCCCATCTCTACTTATTCCAGTCCCTATATACGTACTCAGATACGATCTTTCCAACAGGAATTATGTTCAACACGAAGTCACATGTACAGATTCTCTATGAACTTATTAATTTAAGATACTTTTAACATATAAACATCTATAAATGAAGAATGGTTTATTCCTGTATACAAATGATACAATACATTACCTTTGCTTTGAACTTCTGTAGTTCAGCCTTGGTGATGGTATCAGCCTTGGCAATGATTGGTATAATGTTCACCTTACTATCCAGTTTCTTCATTGTAACTAGATCCAAAGCTTTCAGTCTGAAATAACATATTAAAAGAAGGTTATGGTAATATAATACATAAAATTATACTCTAAAATTGACATTTTTTTCAAGTCATATCTTAAACAATACAGATAATAAGCAAATGGACTTAATCCAGAATGGAGAATATTTTGGGTTTTCGCAGCTAACTTGAGTTTACAAATAAACTTTTGCAGTTACAAATCAGATAATAAGCATAACAATTTGAATTCTTTTTTGTTAACAGTAGTGCACCATAAAGTTATAATGGTAAAACTTTGTGTCTGGGGGTTTCCTGGGAAAACCCACATTTGTGGAGTTCTGGATAACATCTATATTTTCAGTAAAACCCTTCATATGTCCGAATATCACATTTTGAACTGGGCACCCTAGTGTAACCATTAACCTATTCATTTCTAGCTCGATAATTTCCTTGCATTAAAAACTCTAACTCCATGGTTGGAATCAAATCTTCAATCTTAATGCAAGAGATAACAAGTCAGCAACATTTAGCATTGAACATTTACTCCACTCTCATCTCATTCTCTAATGTAAGGCAGCCTTAGCCCTATATACAAAACCCATTTTGGCAATAATAGCTTGTCTATGCAACAAGTATAGAGCCTGACAAGTATGTCATAATATTAGTTTTTCAATTCTGATATCCTTTAAACCTATAATGGAAAGTTCCGAATTCAAAATTTTGTACATACGAGTGTCCCGTTGGTGCAATGAAGTACAGACAGGCATGGATTCTACTATCATGATAGTTATACAGTGATCTCTTTATCTTTAATTCTTCCGACAGGAAAGCCTCAAACTGGCTGTCAATGTAATCCACGATTGATTTCCAGCTGTTAAGAATTAAAATTAAATCATATACTTATTATTTATAAAAAACAACTACATGTAGAGCAACAAATTTGATGAAAGTAATCAAAAGTCAATTTAATTATGCTAGCATTTAAATTTCAATATGCTTTTTCATGTTTTAAGATGATTTTTTTAACATTCAGAAATTTTGAATTACTTGAATAGCAAAATCAGGCAAATTGGGAGAAAAACTGACTCATAAATGACTCATTGAAGAAATTTATGGAGATAAATAATTGTTATGCTGTCCTGAATTAAAAGCACATTTTGCCCCATTTATATTTTTAATATTAAAATTTTGTGTATTGTCAGGCAGATATATATGCAATTATAGTGTTGCAGATGATGTTTAATGTACAAATCTTAATAGACTTCCTGTTCTTTACTGTTTATTTCTGTGCTATAAAAGAATGATTATATAATTGTAGAACAATTTTAGAACACAGACCTGTCTTCCTTGTTAATTTGATCACCGAACCCAACACTGTCAACAATTCTCAACTTCAGTCGTACATTACTCTCCTGTAACTCTGAAATAAAAGACAGATTATGACAAATATCATATAGAGTTAACTGTTATGCAGGAAAAGAGCTATTTTAGGCTGCTTTGATATTTTACAAATTTAAATTTAAAACAGAACAGATATTTACAAGCATGTGAACAATTTAAGACAAGGTCATTAACACTCACTTCCCTATCTTGTCACTAATAAACTTCCTTCTTTCAATTATCACTTTAAGAATTTGTTAAATGGGGAAAAACGTTACATTTTATCAAGATTAATTTTTCATTCATGTTCATGACAAATGGTTCATGTAGTTTCTGGGCCGGAACATCATCATGGATGCTAAGCTGGGGTTCTTTGGCCATTTATTATACAAATTAAAATCTTTGTTTTCTGTATTGCGTATCATTTCAAACATGACAATTCATTTTCTTTAAAACTGTACTCCTTTTTAATAAATATTTTATGACTCCATTTGACTAATAACCTATAATATCGATCACATCTTCGCATATGAATTGTGATGTTTGTTTATATTATATAAACTAACATTATATGCAAATTTATTGGGCGTTTTCTTGTTTCCTGTTTAATTCCATCCGTTGTCTGGGGAGGCCTTCATAAAATCAAGGTCAATCTTACATGTACTGAACATTCATCAGACATACTAAGAGCATATCTTACCATAAGTATTGGCCTTGAGTTTCACTCCAGGTAAATCATGTGTGGACGGTGTAGAATCAAAATGAGTGTTGAATAGTGTGTCCATCAGAGTAGACTTGCCAATACCTGTCTCTCCTGTGAACATAAAAATCAAACATGTCACATTGAACATAAAACATATAAAATTATAACGTTCTCCAGGTTTTTAAAGTCAACATATTTGGTGACATTGGGTGTCAATCCACCCCTATCTGGAATATGTGTTTTGTTTTCTACATCTCATTTTTCCCTATCATGTTAATGAAATATTTTTTAACATTTAAATGTTATAAATTGTTATAAAACTTTTCATTATATGTTTTTCATCACTGTTCCTGTCATTCTTATATGGAATAAAATATATTAACAGTACAAATCCCCCATTTGCATGAACTTGTTCATGAATGCTCTTTCACACTGTTATGAGCTTAGACCCTTTTTCTCCCAAAGTGAAACTAGAAATGTGTCCATCGGTCACAGACATGCCTCCATATTGCACTACCAGTATTTTGTAAGTCTACAGACTGACCACCCTGAAGGATGGACAAAGGAAATGCAAATCTATACACCTGTGTACAATACAATGCAGTCAAGAAATGGAGGTAAAAAAAGTTTGCTGTTCTTAACTGAAATAAGGTAAATTAACCGAAAATTCAATGATAACTGGAAAATTCATCTGAAAATTTCAGAAAAGTGTTAAATCAAGTCACTTACCTAAACAAAGGATGTTAAAACAGAATCCCTGTGCAACAGACTTATTAACAAGCTGATCGGGCAGGCTGTCAAAACCAACATGTCCAGTCAGATTGAGGTTCCTTGGTCCATTAGCTTGCTGACCCCTGCTGGCTGGGGCTGGAGCCTGTATCAATAATTATGATAGAAAATTAACAAAATTCCATGTTAAATCCAAGCATTCCAAATATTACTAATTTTTAAGCATTATATTTAAAGCCTTAACTAAAACTAGCATCATCTTCTTTAAAAGCAAGGAATAAAATTGTAGCAAAATTTATAAAAATTAAGAACTACTTAAATTGTGTGCGACTTGAGCATACTTTTTTTTACTATCAAAGCTGGTATAAAAATATAACTCAAAAGTTGATCAGATGCACTATATTAGAAATTCAAATTAGAATATGCAACTGAATATAGTATAATCAGAATCAAATCAGTGTTATCAACTAAATTAAATCAGCATATAGTTTACAAAGCTTTCATTAGGAGATGATTGAAAAAATATCTGTGAGTGAACAGAAGTAGAAAGTAAAATTCTAAACAATAACAATATGTGAGTGAAACTATGTGAAGGTCTATCAACCAAGTTGTAATAAAAAGTTGTGTTTAGAATTTAGAGAATTATAATGTCTCTCCTGTTTATAGCATAGAATATTAGATGTAGATAAGAAGAACCAGAAAAATGTCCATTCATGTAAGACAAGGATGCCCCCACATTCCACTATTTTGACAGTCAACAGACGGACAGCAGCTGCAGGACAGCGAGATAGACAGACAAAGGCAAACCTACATGCCTCTTCTGAAAGAGGTAGGAGCATACAAGGGGTGTTCAAATATGAAAATTGACCCAGTTGCATTCATATTTCAACAACCCTCTTACAAACCACTGACGTAAACAATGTATTATCATCATATGCAGCAATTCCTCACAAAAGCAAAGCTGGACATAGTAAATAATTTTATTCTAAGAATTTTCCTACAAAATCTTTTTTCTGCACACTGTCAAGAACACATTAGTATCAGTGAAATTATTTGAACCACTTTTTTTAACACACATGTTATGGTCCACTCCCTGTATTACCCAGTACTGATGTGACCAGTGACCATTGGCAAGTGTTTCATTATGTTTGACACTCTCAGGAAAAAAATAGTACAAGTATTTTTATTTAAACCACTTTTTTAGAATTTAAAACAGGAATGGTGATCTCCCTGTATTAACCAGTACTGGTGTGACCACTAGCAATTGCGAGTGCTTTATTATGTTTGAAAAAAGCTTGGTTGATTAATAAAGTAAGCAGGTATACACATGTTCATATAAGAACCAGCTACTTGAAGGAGTAAAGGACTCTAAAAGAACCCACTTAACCCATTACTTCATATACACGCCTTTTTCACCCCCCCCCCCTTTTTGTTGTCTCAAATGATGAAAAAATGCCTGATTTAGGCCCCAAACACTTGTTTTTGTTTGAGAAATGTTGTTAAAAAAAGTGACCTCTTTTTCGGCGCGGCCCCCCAACCAAAAGATACATCAGGGGGTTGCCAGAAGGGGGATGTGCCCCCTTCTGTTTGGGGGGTTTGAAGGGGGGGCGGAGTCCCCCTCATCGCCAAGAAAATTTTGGACTTGTGAGAGGCTGTAAATGACCCCAGATTTGATCATATGGTAACGGCGTAACCAACGCTGAAAAGCATTGACTCTATCTCAATCCATTGAGAAGTTGCAGCACTTTGAAAATCAATTTTGATGGAAAAATCAACGCAAAATAGTGATTTTTGGCAATTTTGAGATGTCCCCTCGTTGCCATGGTAACAGGAAAATTTAAGCCTGAGCATGTTGTTGCAAGGGCAAAATGGTCCAGTCAACATTTGTGCCAAGTTTGATTAGTGTTGAAGCACGTATACACTTTTACATATAGGTACCAGCTACTAAGGAGTAAAGGACTCTTAAAGAACCCACTTAAAGAAGCAAGGGAGCCCATACATGTAATTTGTTACTGAGTAAAACTTATTAATGAAACAACTGGGCATATTACACACAAAATTATGCTGGGCGTAAAACACACATATGCTTGGCGTAACACACATATGCTAAACCACGCAAAATGTAAAACAGCAATGCCTTTTGGACTTAGATTCTACACCTACTTTTGTGGTAATGACCAGGATTTTCATACCACACATTTAAACTGAATATCAAAGTACTTATCTTTATATGGACATGTTTTTTATTTTCACAATCAGTTTAAGTATACCTAAAATAACTTGAATATCAAATAAATACCTTTTGATAAAGAAGAAAATAGAGGTTTGTACAATTCAACTTTTTAAAGTATAAAGTAAAGGTGCAATGAAGAAAATGTCTTCCATTTTGAATGTAAGAAAGCAAAAGAGAGACATATATAGTCAAAGTTAAGTAAATAAATATCTAAAGATCTTTATGTTAAATTCTTGATTATAAAACTGTGCAATAAATATAACAACTGTGTGTAAGCCATCTTATATCTATCTGAAAACGAAAGAAGTGCAATAACAGAAACAATAGACAGTATGACTATGTTGTGCTGAATGATTGTGACACTGTGATAGAGAAACCTCAAAGCAATCTTGTACTGAAAATCTTACACTTTATTATACCTCAAAAGATTCCAAGAAAATACTTTTTTTTTTTAGGAATTAAAAAAAAATGTACCAGTCATAATTGGTGCTTAAATGATCATTGAGACTATATTTTTGTTGGTTTAATAGTCCTGAACAATAAAAAATTACAATTTCATATACATGTATAAATAATATAAATATGCAACACATGTTTATTTTTATCAAAACTGCTGGAATTCAGGTCTTACATTAGTAAATCACCCTCAATGAAGTAAAGTCCTTATTTAGATAATGTACATTTGTAGAATTTTTAGGAAAAGCCTTTTCTCCCACCAGATAATGTAAAAAGTGACAAGGTTTTCAGTAGATTACCTTATGAAATGAGATAATGAAATGTGTCCACCATTAGATGAATAAAGTCTAGCTAGAGTGAGCGGCTAAGCCATGACAGTAAGCACTTTTATAGTCACTTTAATCATTCTCCAATAAGTAATTGAGATAATGTATGCCGTACACAGTAGAATTTAGGCATAAAGAAAATGCTGATGAATTTAGGCATAAAGAAAATGTTGATGAACTAAAAACTTTGACAACAGCATATTTTTAACATAATTCAGTATTCTACTTTATAAAGAAATATAATCTAAATTAGAATACTTTATGAAATTTATAAAGCAAGAAGCTTGAGCTAAATCATAAAATGCATCAAAAAGTTTATTAATAGAAGCAAGTGAAACAGTCTGTAGTGAGAGTATCATAACTCATGATCTGTAAACTGCGATTGTAAATTTCAGAAAAAAAAACCAACTTGATATATCAGTATATCTGAATATGTTATCATGGCATCACGTTGTTAACACCAGCTTACCTGCAGTACTGAGCGTACTAAATCTCCGGCATTTGATGGGACCTAAACATGCACAAAATCAAAGTTATATAATATTGCAGTTTTTTTATGTACAAATTTACTCTGGCAATATTTTTAAGATATATCAATTGCATCAAATTTCTTCAATTAATCATACCAACTTATATTTTGAACTACATAAATAGTTATCTTCATTGTATGAATGAATATGGATATTTTTGAACAAAACTGTGAATAATTTATAAGTTCTCTGCAGTAATGAATGAACTGCCATGTATGTCACAAGACAGATTGGACAGGATGTATAATATTTATATAATAGAATGTTAAGTAAACCTCTCAGGTCCCTGAAAAGTGAACCCCTTCTTATGCTTCGATTTGTTCAATTCAGAAACCTCTTAAAAGTGCCGGCAAATTTTCAAATTATTTTGAAGTCTGCAGGTGGCGCATTTTTCTAGGGTTACTCGCCTCGCCCTGCAGGACGGGCAAATGACCATACAAATTTACTCCCCTTTATAAATTGAACTTGCCTGCATTTTGATAGCCAAAATTTGTTAGAATCAAAAACACATGACTCAAATTTACTATTTGCCAGTCTATATTGGTATAATCAGCTTTATTCAATTACTTATTGTTTATGATATTTTTCATTCTTTTATCATATGATCTTCAACATAGCCTGAATATTTATTTCATTCACACTCACCTAAACCACATGGCTATTAAAGTATAAAACACTTGAAATATGGCTAAGTACTCTATAAAATATTTCCGAATGCATATGTATAAAATACAGTCCTATGTTGCTCTTGTTACGGAATCAATTCATCATATGCGTTCAGTAAAGTTTTATACTAGTCATAAGGTTGATTTCCGATGATTTTTGTTTGACAGTATTAAGATTGAAATGGCCTCAGCAGTTGCAGTGGATTCGTTTAGACCTGGACTGGGTGGTCTTTCATAAATTTCCATTTCAGTCGGACTATTGTGACAATTTACTGCAACATCATTAAAAGGGCTTACAGACACTTCACCCCCCAGACACCTCACCCTAGGCCCCTTTTTGCAGACACTTCACCCCTCAGACAGTTCACCCCTCATTTTAAGAAATTTGATTGAGACACTTCACCCCTCATTTTTTTATTTTGTGATTAACAATTATTTATGTAGACTATGTTAAATACATTCAATAGTGATTGAGTATGTTTAAATATTGTTTTAACCCATTGTTTAATAAATTTTTAGTTGATTTAATTCTTGAAGTTTTGGTACTTAAGTTCGATTTCAGTTTGATCCTTACCATATAATAATCATTGAGTAACGATCACTTGGTGATGGTTTGTGCTTTAACTTTGTGCTTAATGTACATAACTGGTGCTATTTATTTGTTTAATAAATGACATTATGAATGATCTTGATAATGTGTCTGATAATGATGATAAATAATTTATATTTACTATATTTTATAAAGCAACCAATTCATTCATTCATATTCATTTATATTCATTTTATTTATTCATTTATTAAATTTATTAATTAAGAATAAATTTAATTCTCATACAATTATACCATTTTAATTCAATTATCTAATCAATTGTGAGATAACTGTTGAATAAACAACTAATCAACATGTTGAATAAACAAGGTGACATGCAATAAACACTTAATGGATGAAAGTGCTGTGATATATCATTTGGCAATACAACCAATTAACCTAAATCAGCTTTAAACTTAGTAAAAATAAAGGTAATAAGCAAAATTTTTAAATCAAATAATACTAAAAATAATAAATATAAACATATATAAGCATTTTGTTGTTTATAGAAAAAAATTGGATGAGGGGTGAAGTGTCTTACTGATTTGAGGGGTGAAGTGTCTGGGGGGTGAGGTGTCTTGCTACCATTAAAAGTGACTCATGGTGAATGAATGGAGCTTCTAAGTTCTAACAAATAAATAACTATGATTTTGTCAGGGCACAATCGGCACTACTTTGACTATAGTTATTATTTGTACATTTTTTATAACAATTTGAAAACATATGTTTATTATAAAACTCTAACTAAAGAAATTAACAGCTCGAAACTTCCATAATTATAACAAGAAGCAAAAACAGTACAATTTATTAAGACAAACACAAAGTTAGGGTTGGGTCACAAAAACACAACATGGAAGATTAAGCTAGAATAAAAAGAATTGTGATATGACTGAATCAATAAATGGTAAATCATATTCACCCTTTGTACATCTGGTGCAGCCATGTGTAACTTCAAGGAAGTCGAAAATTTATGAAATCGGCAAAAATGCAAAAAATTTAACAACCCGGAAGTATTCAGTGCGGAATTTAAAATAATTTTCAACCTAAAGTGCTTTTACTACCAAAAAGAGAGAAACACGTCTGCTCAAGCGAAGAAAGCTATGTTCTCACCACAGGAACTTGAAATTCTATCAAATAACCAATATTAATTATAATATCCAAATATACCCCCTATATACTATAAAAAAAAACACTTTATATAGGGGGTATATTTTGCATATTATCGTTAATAGTGATAGAATTTCAAGTTCCTGTGGTTCTCACTGATAAAAAAGCTAGAAGATTGTTACTTTCTGTAGATCTACAGATCCACTTGTTTAACACAAAGATTGTTCCAATTCTTTGTTATCGCTCTGAAGTTTAGGGAATGGAAAATTTATAGTGTATTGATCAATTTCACCTTAATTTTTTTTAATTATACTTAACCACAAGCAAAGTACTCCCAATTGTATGTTATATAGTGAACTTGGAGTAACTCCGGTATCTTTGCAAATAAAAAGTAGAATTATTAACTACTCGTGTAAGCTTTTGAATGGTAAAGATGATAAGATTTGTAATATTTTATATAAGATTGCATACACAGTATAGATTAGATATAGAACTGAAATACCGTGACTTTCTTTTGTTAAGGATACTTTGAACAAACAAATTATTGGTACCTTGTCCGTTTAATTTCAAAAGTCTTGTTAGGAACAGACTTCGAGATAAGTTCATCCAAAGTTGGAAAAGTGATGTCCATTCTTTCAGCAAATGTTTAAACTACCGTTTATATAAATCAGAGTTTGTATCCGAAGATTATTTTAACATGTATACACGTACTTCCTTGGCAACTATCTTCAACCTTGTTTTTTTTTTTTTTTTTTTTTTTTTTTTGAGGCCCCAACTGGGTAACCCCGTTTATTTACCCCGTAATAGGTATGAGAGGGTCGGGGTCATCCCTCTGATACCTTACATGATATCTACATAATATTTAAATCATCATCTATAATAATATAATTACAATATACATTATATTCAAACATTCAATCAATTTTCATATAATAAGTATAACAATTTTGTATGATATGATTCAAACAAACAAAGAATATTGGTTTGGGGTAAATTAATTTAGTGTAGCCCATTAGTTTATTAATCTTCAACCTGGTTAAAATTTAGATGTATGAATCATAAAATGCCAATTGAGAAAGGTATATTTCTAAATATAGAGAGAAATTTACGTATATGTACTTCATGTGAATCAAACCAACTCGGTGACGAATTTCACTATCTCTTTTATTGTTCACATTTTGTTATTAGTAGACGTAAATTTATTAAACCGTATTATCATAGATTTCCTAATGCACTGAAATTTGAAGATCTTATGAATAGTAAAAACAAGTCACATTTTAAAAAACCTTCCTTTCTTTTGTAAATGAATAATTACAACATGCGAATAATAAATATATTGTTTCCTCATTAGTCTCCTAGAAATTTTGTTATTAAAGCATAAATTTTCCGGTTATTATTGAGAATCTAGTCGTATCTTTTTTACACGGGTACAATTTATTTGTCACTCATTCTCCTGTTTATATATATATATTAATTTATGTTTATTTTTCTGTGTTCCGGTTGTTACATATACACAATTTTGTATTTTATGTCACATGTTCTCATGAACTATAACAGTATTGAATAAAATCTAAATCTAACAGTTAGTAGACGTAAATTTATTAAACCGTATTATTATAGGTACAATGTATCCTAATGCATTGACCTTTTGGATTCATAAATTAAATACTATGATTCCAATGGACTAAATAATAAAGTATTGTTTGATTTATAATATGTTACATGAATATTAATATGTTTGTCTATTATCTTATTTTTATTAACACTGTCAAATAGACATCTGTATCACTATTGATCCATTATTATACATGTACCAGCTTTATTTATAACATAAATATTTGTTTCTACATGTTACCATATTTTTGCCGCTAAACGCCATAACATTTTTTGCGCGTTTTACGCGTGTTTCGTTATAACGTTGCTTCCGGTAATTTTATTATGTTTTGCACTGATGAAGGCATATAGCCGAAACGTATGCAATAAATAATTACTGAATGTTCGTGTTTGTGTGGCTTGTCTGTTTATTTTGTTTTGTAAAAATTAATATAACATGCAAATAATAATAATAATATCTTTATTTCCTCCAAAAGATATAGTCATGTCTTTATTTTATTGGTACAATATATTTGTCACTCATTCTCCTGGTTTTATGTATATTTTTCTGTTCCGATTGTAACATGTTCACAATTTTGTATATTATGTCACATGTTCTAATGAACCATGACAGTATTGAATAAATATTGAAATCTGGAATTCTTGAAGTGTTGAAAATGTGACCGGCATCCCATAAAAACAATGATTATTTGCTGGTCATCTTCTGATAAAGCAAAGATAATCGTACAATATAAAGTAATATAACAATGTTATGTAAAGCCAAACTCTATGCACATTGCAACAAATTTATCAGTCATATGAAGATTGTTTCAGTAGAGATATCTCTGGTTTCAACAAAGATACTATAGAGTAAATAGATTGTCTAATAACAAGTAAGTTTAGGGACGGACCGATTTACTAATGTTATTTGAACTTGTGGTCCAACCCTTTTTCTTTCAAAATGTATTTATATATTTTTCTTTCTATATATTTGCATTGTACATATTGTAAAAAATTGAAAGGAATAAAATATGTTTAAACTAATAACAAGTAAGCATCATAAAATATAAAAGTAAAACAAATAAATAAATGAATAAATAAATAAATAAATAAATAAATAAATAAATAAATAAATAAATAAATAAATAAATAAATAAATAAATAAATAAATAAATAAATAAATAAATAAATAAATAAACAAAAAATAAATAAATAAATAAATAAATAAATAAATAAATAAATAAATAAATAAATAAATAAATAAATAAATAAATAAATAAATAAATAAATAAATAAATAAATAAATAAAATAAATAAATAAATAAATAAATAAATAAATAAATAAATAAATAAATAAATAAATAAATAAATAAATAAATAAATAAATAAATAAATAAATAAAATAAATAAATAAATAAATAAATAAATTAGAAAGAGGGAGAATTTTGTACATCTAGAGCACGGGTTCCCAATCCGGAGATGAGGTCAATGAAGGATGGGATCTCTGTCAATTTCCTTAATTTACACCAATAAGAATCACCCTGTTCCTTCATTTCTGTCTAGGAATAGAGAGTAGAGCCCTAAAGTAGATCTACTGGTAAATTTGATATAACCCTAGAACTTGACGATGATGTACAGCTGAAGTTTTGAAATTTTCAGAGAAAAAATATATATACATAATTACATATGTGTTTTATTCAAAACGTACTCCTAAAATGCACCAAAAAGTCACCATTAAAATGTAGATTTCAATTTTTAAGTTTACGGAACGGGTGTGAAAATTTACAGGGCTATAAATCTAACGGTCTTAATGTCAACTCGTCCCGTGGTCAACTCGTGACCTATTTGGTCAACTCGTCCCCTTCTTTTGGTCAACCCGTCTTCAACGAGTCAACTCGTCCCTAATATGGTTAACTATAGTCCCCTTCTTTTGGTCAACTTGTCACTACTGCATTATAAATTTATGTCTTAAAATAATAATTCTATTATTTAGACAAAGATTTATATCAATCTTTCTGCTGTAATAAAATCAAAATGAATTTGTTTAATTTGGATATTTCTGATAGTGGATGGTTTACCCGGTTCAAAAATTACACAAACATCAAAAACTTGTTTGATAAGAAATACAAATGTAATATATCAACATTGTCCATTTATGTCTGATATTATTAATAATTTTCATTTCAATGATATACTTGGAATATTAATTCGGAATAAATAAAATAATTAAAATACAGAATATCGTTGTAATTTGTGAAGATATGGATCACAAAAATGTAACATTAAAACACAGATAAAAGATAAAATCATGACTGAAACTGAAACTGATAAACACACTTTAAATTTTCTATTCCCCAAACTTCACTTTTTTAGGTTTTTATTCAATATTGTCATGGTTCATGTGACATAACTAGGATTTTTACTAAGCATGCGTTTCTCTTGTTGGTATTAATTTTACTTTTGTGTGTTTAAATTTAATGACTGACTTATTTATAAAAAATTATGCATAAAAAATATATTTTCATGATATTTGCAGTTTAAACAAATTAACAATATATTTGATATATAAATAAAGTTAAAGATAATTATTATTTGAATAATTACAAACTAAAGATTCGCCCCGTAATTACCCGGAAGTAGTATTGGCTAGAAGCCGATGCTGAGTGAAATTTGAGAAATTTCCATATTTCTTCGAGTTTTACGTTTGACAGCCGTGACTTTTCAATTTTTGGATGTGAATTGTTGAGTCATATATTCAACAATGTCTGAGGAGGGCCAGCGTGCCGAATCAGACGTTAAAACTGTTGCAGAAATTCTAAAATCCGAAGGGAATGACGAGTTAAAATTTGGTCTGCTAATCAGCCTTATCAAGGTGAATCAAGCTTCTAGCAAAGATGTGGTCAACACTGTCCTTCATTTGGTAAGTCTGACAGCCCTTTTACTATTTAAAACACAGCTATTTTGGCCCAAAAACTTCAAACTTTTCAAACTGTAACAAGAAAAGATACTGTCACAACAATCTACCTGTCAAAATCAATAAGTTATTGATCTCTGGAAATGCTACAAGTTTTTCAATAGCTGATGGAATGTTGAATTGATCTCGTTAATTGACATGTAGTAAAGAAATTTCCAGGTCACAAGATAGGTCATATTCTAAGAATGTGGTCTATATATGAGTGGGTGTGGCCAATCTTCTGTCAAAATGTCACTTTTATTAATTTAATTGTGTCAGAGATTATCATTTATGAGGGGTGAATTGTCTTATCTATTTTGGGGGGTGAACTGTCTTGAGGGGTGAGTTGTCTTGCTTTTTTGGGCAGTGAATCGTCTGGGGGGTGAGTTGTCTTGTTACCAGAGTAAACTGGTGATTCAGAGCATTTGAAGAATTTTTAATTTTGTTCGAATATTTAATTTAATTTGTTGTAAACCAGGCTTTTTTTCTGAAAATTTCCTCTTTGGATGGAAAAGTTTAATGACAAGTTTCAGGTCAACATATAAACTCATATCATATGTAACAGTTTTTAGGATTTTTGAAGTGTAAGATAATTTGTCAGTTTAATAGTTATGCTGGCAGTGTTTGATTAGAAGAGCATGGTAGGATGGTGCTACAATAAGTAACATGTTTTAATAATTATCTGTACATCTACATCATACTGCAGCGCTTCAAAATTGTTTACGATTACACTAAGCCGGAATACATTGAATTGAGAGACAGCTATGACATAAAAGGGAATCTGGAAACCAGCCCTAGCTCTTACTGAATAGGCCCCTTGGTTCTTTAAAATGGCAAGTGTATAGCACTGATACATGCAAGGATTATGTGGGTTTCTTACCAGTACACCTCTATGTAGGTGGAAAACACTGAAAGTGTCTCTGAAAAATTCCAAGGGTGTTGCCCAGGATCGAACCAGGGACCTCAGGAGTGACAGTCAGTGGTGGTTGGTGTAACCAACTGAGCTATCGCACCTCCTCTTATGTAATACATGTATATAATGTTATAGCCAGAAGCTAATTATTATTATACAAACTAAAGGCATGGTCTATCGGGACCGCTGAAAGGCTACCCCCCACCAGTTTAATTATTGACAAGCTGGGCTGCTCAGTCAATTCTTTGCTGTATAGCTTGGTATTATGATTAATGTCACTTTGTCAGATGTGGTCAAGTTGTTATAAAGGTAGTTAAGGTACATGATTCGATTCCTGCTCATGATGGAAGCTAAGATTTCAATTCCTTTATTCGTTGTGATGTTATATCTTATTTAGCAATTTCTCAATTGTACTTGCATTCTTCTATTCTTATTAAAAATTTGTATTTCGCTAATTATCTTAAAGGGGATGGGAAAAATATATAGTTACTTGTATTGGGAAGGGGAAGGGGGCCTTATTTAGGCAACTAAATTCATGAAATGACAGCCCTGTTATATGTTAATAAATTGTTATAAATCTACAAATCTATGGACAGTATGTATTTATATAATATATAATGTAAAAATATGTATACCTGGTGTAAATTGATGTACATCAGGGTAGTTTGTTACTGCGTAGTTTGTTACTGCTAGATATGGGTATTATGTGGCACACAAGAATGCAATTTGATTAATCAAATTTTTTTTTAACCAATCCCTCCTCTTGGTTGTGTAGAAGAAAAAGTTAATCAATAGGTAAAATGTAATGGAAAAACCTATTTGCAACCTTTTCCCAATAAGATTCCAATTACAGGATGGTGAAAATTTTAGTTAATACAAACCCTTTGGCTCTGTCCTAGTCTAAATTTTTCAAACTCGTAATTAGGTACAGAGAGGAAAATATCTTGACAGCTGCAAAATGGTGAATTTTAAAATTATTGGGAACTTTTGGAAACTATTTCATTTGTCAGAAATATCAGCATTTTTTTGCCATTGGAAAGATGTCTGTAAATAGGGAATATATATACAATAATTAGTGTATCATTGAAGAGGTGTATTTAGATGCATATAAGTTTATCTGGTCCTGCATGGGGTACCAAAGGCGGCTCTTTGTTATTGGACGGAAGGATGTAAAAGTGCATTATTTTAGACCCAAGATACTGATAACATTATCCTTAGAAATGTTAAGTCTCAGAGTCAGACAAGGAATTTTAAATAAATTGTTTAACTTGGCTTGAAGGACCTGGTTTATTAGGTCCATTTGTGATAAAATTTTGGCAGTGGATTTTATCACTTAATTGGGAAGAGACCATAATTAGCCTGTTCATTGTTAGAAAAATTATCGCTAAAATTGCAAATTTGGGAAGAAGAAAGGGTGGTATAAGTTTAGGTTTTTGGGAAAACTGCATGGTTTTCAGAAAATTTCAATTGGGAAGAGGTCTTTATAGGCCTCTGTTATATAAGGTGAAAAATCACTGGATATGAAAATCAGGGCTTATGCTGTCAGTTGCCATGGTTGCCATTTGCAATAGTTTTATAAGATTGGTGATTATTTTTGCATTTTGGCTTCAGAAACTGGTGATTATTTTTACATTAACAAATTGTAGATATTTGTGATGTTAATATGCCAAAGAATTAAAACTTGGGCTAGTTACACAATGATATTTTATAAACTTTTGATAAAGAAAATATAAGCAAAGATATTTATGATATATTTTTGAATGTATTAATTTCATAATATAATTTATATAATCCATATCAGAATGAATGTAATAAGAATGACAACTTTTAAAGTGACCAGTAACAAGAAAAGTTCCATTATTTCATTAAATGAAAAATAAAATAAAAAACACAACCTTCAAAATGAAATATTTGATGGCCTATAAGTTATCAGATGTGTAATTGATTTGATAATCTTTATTCAAATTAACATGTTATACCCTAAAAATGGTAGATATAGAATTATTCCAAACCTTAAGTCACATTAGATAATTAAAACTTTTAAAAAATACTCCACGCTAAAGAAATTTTAGATTTTATTTTTGGTGAAAAACTGCTTCTTGATTTTATGATTTGTTTGTGCTACTGACACATTTTATTCTGTAGGAACAGGCACATATTATTATTTTATCAGACAAAATTGTTTTTCTGCAAGTTACATGAAATTTGAGTTGGATGCAAATAAATGAATATTATTTTTAATCAAGGAATTAATGCTCCTGTCTCCTGTTTCAGTATTTGATTACAGATAGGATACATCCATCATGTTGATATAAATCCTCCTGCATCAAATATGTCAGTAGGTTTTATTGAACTCTTCCATACTAAGTTAGCAGTGGTAGTGACTTGCATACATCCAAGTCAGCCTGCACATCTGTACATCCAGGTCAGCCTGCACACCTATACATCCAGGTCAGCCTGTACATCTGTATATTCAGGTCAGCCTGCACATCTGTACATTTAGGTAAGCCAGACATATATGTACATCCAAGTCAGCTTGCACACCTGTACATCCAGGTCAGCCTGCACATCTGTACATCCAGATCAGCCTGCACATCTGTACATTCAGGTCAGCCAGCACATGTGTCTGTTCAGTAAGGTCAGCCTGCACATCTGGATACATTAATAAAGGTAGTGGTAAAAAGTAAAAATAGCAATATCAAAATAGAGTAGTGATATTAAGGTAGTGATTCGTGATACCATAATAAAGGTATTGAAATAAAGGTGGTGATGTTAAACTAAGGGTATTGAAGTAAAGGTAGTGATATTAAAGAAAGGGTATTGGTAAAAAAATAAAAGTTGCAATATCAAAATAAAGGTAATGAAATAAAGGTACTGATATCAAAATAAGGATAGTGAAGTAAAGGTAGTGATATAAAAATAAAGGTAGTGAAATAAAGGTAAATATATCAAAATAAGGGTAGTTAAGTAAAGGTAGTGATATCAAAATAAAGGTAGTGAAATAAAGGTAAATATATTAAAATAAGGGTAATGAAGTGAAGGTAGTGATACCAAAATAAAGGTAGTGAAATAAAGGGAAATATATCAAAATAAGGGCAGTGAAGTAAAGGTAGTGATATCAAAAAAAAGGGAGTGAAATAAAGGGAAAAATATCAAAATAAGGGTAGTGAAATAAAGCTAGTAATATCAAAATAAAGGTAGTGAAATAAAGGGAAATATATCAAAATAAGGGTAGTGAAGTAAAGGTAAATACATCAAAGTGAAGGTAGTGATATCAAAATAAAGGTAGTAAAGTAAAGGCAGTGATTTCAGAAATTTTGGTTTAAATTCAATTCTTTATTTTCCAATTTATCATGATCATCTCTGCTATGTTACAGATTTCCATAAACTGGTACATTTACAAGTTTTAAGGAGGCCACTTATTTGTTTATAATGACCATGTAATCATTTGATGATAGTTGTATACTGTGGAATGTATATATACTGGCTTGTATTCAGGTTGTAATGATGTATTTTTACTTGAATGACATGAAGTAAGAATGTTAAGTGACCCACTCCTCTAGTGTGATAGTTCGGCTAAGTAAAGTGTGTCTTGCTTAGTTTTGTAGATGAGGAGTAGACTCAGTTTAAAAATTTTGTTGGAAAATGAAGGGACCTTTTGAAACCACCTTTCAGGCTCTTTTGGCACAGTATTTTGAATTGTGCTACATTAATGTTTATTATACCAATCAAGGCATAACAAATTTGCAATAAAAATTTGCAATAAAACATGAGGAAAAATCTGTAAATATTTTGACACAGAATGAACATCAGTTTGGATATCAGCAAATTTTCTGTTCTGTTTGGAACTTTTTTACAGATTGAGAAAAAATTGGCACATTTTCCATTGGGAATGGGTCTGGTAATCTGAACTGTGTTGACACTGGAAAAAAACACATGTATGGAATCCTGACAATTGAGTGTTTTAATAATTTGATTTAAAAGTTAAATTTTACACAACTTCATATCAGGAAATAAAGAAAAAGTAATATTGATGAATGTACATGTGCTTGGA